TCAGCACTGCTTTCATTGTGTACCACAAGCTTTGTAAAATTTCATTTCATTTTTATTCATCTCTAAGTTTTTCTAACTTCCCTTGTGGTTCTTTGATCCACTGGTTGCCTATGAGTGTTGTTTAATTTCCTCAAATTTCTATGAATTGGTGATTTTTCTAGTTTCCTTCTGCTGTTGATTTCTAACATCATGATATTGGGGTCTGACAAAATGCTTTTTAGGTTCTGCCTCTTAAAACTTGTTGCACCTCTCAGGCCACTTAAAGGGCAGGGTTTTGTTTTGTTTGTTGTTTGTTTTCTCCCTTCATTTTCTGTGTTCCCCCTTTTGGGAGCCACACATAAGCATATTCTGAGGCAGCCACATGTACAGAGGAAGCCAGAAAGTCCCTGCACCTGCCCAGGGAAGGTGCAGACTCAGACAAGACCTGAGGACACCTACGTCTACACTTACAGCTGGCCCTGGGCAGAGAGACAGTCCACATTAAACACAGATGGAACAAACAGGGAGATTCTGATTTCCAAATATCCAAAGTCGACAAAATATCACAAGGCACCCAAAGGACAGAAATAACCAACAACTCCCTCTGTGAAGAAGACCAGATGGTAGATCTACTAGAAAAAGATGTTAAAACAACTGTCTTAAAGATGCTCAAAGAACTGAAGGAAGATGTGAGGAAAGTTGAGAAAATAATGTGTGAAATGGGAATGAAGAGCCAAAAAGAAGATCTGGAGCTGGAAAATCCAACTGAAATAGAAAATTCTCTAGAGAAAGTCAAGGGTTGCTTTGATCTGGGAAAAAGAGAATCAGTGAACTTGAAGAAATGGCAGTGGAAATTATGGAAGATGAGAAATAGAAAGTTAAAAGGCTGGAGAAAAGTACACAGAGTAAGGAGCTTCAGTCCCAAGGAGCACCATGAAGATGCCTGATATGTACAGTGTATGGATCCCATTGGGTAAGATAGCAGAGGGGCAAAGAATATGTGAAGAAATAATGGCTGAAAGACAACATCATGAATTTAATGAAAGACATGAATATAAACATCCAAGACTCTCATGAACTCCAAGCAAGACGAGCTCAGAGGCCCACAATGAGACACAGTATAACTCAAAAAACAAAGAATTTTGTAGGCAACAATTTTGAGGTGTATATAACTTGTCACATACAAAGGATTTTTAATGAGACACCAGCAGATTTATTATCAAAGTTCAGAGGCCAGAGGACAGTGGGCTGTCATATTCAAACTGTTAGCCAGGAAGCCTATATCCAGCAAAACTGTCCCTTAAAACTAAGGGAAAAAATTAAGACAACAGAAGTGGCAGAAAGGAAGGAAAGAAGGGGGGAGGGAGGAAGGGAGGGAAAGAGCTCACCATCACTCTAGATCTGTCCTGTAGGACACTAGCAAGTGGGCAACCTGAATGTTGAAAGGAAGGATATTAGATAATCATCAAATTCAGTGAAGGAATAAGGATCTCAGTAAAGGTAAATACACCTCCAAGTACAAAAGCTAGCATCATCGTGGCTACAAAGTATAACTCCAGTTTAGTTTTCTGTGTGAGTTTTTAAACATGCTTTTAAAAAATCTAAAAGCTAATACTATTAAAACAGTGATTTGTAATTTCACATCTTATTTGCAAAATAATTTCAGAAACTAGTGCATTAAAATTAGTTTTGCTTTTTTTGGAGTATGGTCAGCCTCCCGTGACTGTGGGTTGTACTTCTACAAATTTAATCAACTGCAGACTGAAAGTATTTGAAAAGGAATTGTGTCTGTACTGAACACATATCAAACTTCTCTCCATGTCACTGTCCCTAAATAATGCAGTATAGCAACTATTTCCATAGCATTTACCTTGTGCTAGGCACTGGAAGCAATCTAGAGATGATTAAAAGTAAAGAGGGGTTGCTCGCTTTGGCAGCACATATACTAAAGTAAAGGGGGTATCAGCATAGGTTAGATGCAAATGCCACACCATTTATAGAAGACCTTAGCTTTGGATTCTGGCATCCAAGTGATTTGGAACCAATCCCTTTAGTATCTGACTGAGGGAGAGATACTCAACAGGTACTAATACATCTCCATACAGATACTGTTTGCAGATATAATTTTGTGACATTAGTAAATGAAAAGGGTGGAGATACAGCTATTCTAGGAGCAACTTTTGTACATTATTAAATTTAAGTTGTCCTAAATTCAGGTGTTTTAATTTTAGAATGTTAAGTGTTATCCCCATGGTAAGCACAAAGAAAATAAGTAATAAAGTAATGCAAAGGAAATAAGAAGAGGATTTAAATACTTTACTACCAAAAATCAAACACAAAAGAAAGTAATGCAGAAATCTAGGGGGGAAAAGCCATAAGCTATAACAGATATGAAGTAACAGAAGTCTTCTTCATCAGTAATTATGCTAAATGTAAATAGGTTAAATTCTCCAATCAAAGACAGAGACTAGATTCAAACACCATGACTCAGGTTTTTGCTGTATATAAGAGACTGGCTTTAGATTCAGAGGCACAAATAGGTTGATAGTGAAAAGATATTCCATTGAGTAGCAAAGACAGCACAAGTAGCTATGCATCAGGCCAGGGATTTAACTCAGTGGTTCCACTGCCTGCCTTGCAAGTGCAAGGACCCTAGTTCAATCCCCGGTACCAAAAAAAAAAAAAAAAAAAAAAAAAAAAAAAAAAAAAAAAAAAAAAAAAAAAAAAAAAAAAAAAAAACCAACAAGTAGCCCTGCATCAAAACAGGTTACAAGAGACAAAAAAGGAAATTATATAGTAATAATATTCTCAATACAGCAAGAAAATGACAGTTGTAATAAATGTATCCATATATTTACACATCCTCAAAAATCCCGATACCTTAAGAAAATGAGGAGCCAATCGTACACTAGGACCTGCCAGCTCCTGGTTATATCCTCTACTGCTGCCTTGGAGTTCAGGTGTGGTCCCCAGGTGGCACTGGCCCTGAGTCTCATGCGAGGTAGAGGAGGTCCCTGTCTCAGCTTCCTGGGCGTTCAAACTTCACAGCCCTGTTTTCTCACCACTCCTCTTGCACTTTTCTCATCTACTCTTACTTATTCCACCAAGTGAAGCCTAAGCTGATTTTGCCAACTCTTAACAACAAAAATTGTTCTTGGAGATTTTAATTAAAATTACCCTTAACTGGGGCCCGGGATTTTGCTCAGTGGTTCTGCCACCTGCCTAGCAAGCCCAAGGACCTGAGTTCGATCCCCAGTATAAAAAAAAAAATTACACTTAACTGTAGATTAGGTTAGAAACAACTGATATTCATAGTATCTGTTAAGATATTTGGATGCTTTATCCTTGAGGGCTGGGGAGGGCGGAGACCTGAGTTTTTTTTCCCTAACTCTTGTGCATTCTTGTTAACTTTGTTCCCTAGATTTGTTTTGTTTTTCTTTTTCACGTAAGCAGTATTTTTTCTACATTTTCTGAGCGCTTTCTGTGCAGTCTTGTACGTCTTTGGGTCAGGAGCTCAGGAGGGCTCCACTGGGTGTCACTGGCCCTGGGTCTTGCATGGGGCAGCAGAGACCCTGGCCAGGCCAAGGCCACTAGGAAGCTGACCAGGGCTGAAGGGTCTGCTGCCAAGTTGGAGGCCACCCTCTGTATCCCCGTGACGTGGCCACTGGCCTCCCCCTTAGCAAGCCACACCAAGGACAGCCAGGCACCTCGGTGGTGTGGAAGCCACCTCTGCCTCATACACAGGCCAGAGCGAGAGGTGTGAGAGGACACAGGGAGTGGACACCGCTTCTGTCCTCCTCCTCGCCCGCATGAGCTCACTGGAGGTACTTTCTGCACTCTGTTCTCGCTTTGTGTGTACCGGTGCAGATTTTCCAGAATTCTCCTTGACTGAGAGTCAGCTCCCAACATCCCTTTATGTGGCCTCGCTTCCCTATCTCCCTTCCCTGGGAGGGATGAGCTCCCGGTCCTCAGCTGGCAGCTCTGTCACTTTGTCACTTTTCCTGAGGCCGCCTGGTTCCCACACTCCTTTCCAGGTCTGAGCTCTGTCGCTCCCTGGTTCCCTCATCTCCTTTGCTCTCTTTCTCTCCCAAGCTCTCAGATGACTTCTTATCATTGTCGGTCGTATTTAGTACCACACCTGGCTCCCTGACTCCATTGCCCTCTCCAGCTAAAGCTGTTTGAACGCTGTCCTCTGGATGGGCCTCCTTCACTCTCGGCAGCTTCCCAGGGATTCAAATTGAGATGAATTCTGCGCAGGTGCCCGCATCCCTGCCCCAGCGTCCTCCCTGCCAGTCTCGTTGCGCCCAGTGTGGCCAGGTGAGGGCCACAGGACACACGTCTTCCCATCCTCCTCACTGTGCTGCTGCCCTGCAGGCTGCTGCTGGGACGCAGCCCTGGGTCATGGACCTCAGTAGCCAGGGTAGATGTTTGTGCAGAGAGCAGAGTGGTGCTGGCTCTGTACCCCACGAGAGTGGGCAATTCCAACAACTCCAATGCTTGTTCAACCCAGTGGCTGCCAGGCCTGCTCTGGGGTCCCCAGCCAGCAGGCACAGCAAGGCCAGCTCTGGGCCTGTGCAGGTGGCCTCTCGGCATCATGCCCGGGCCCAAGCCCCACCACAGGCTCACTGGGACTTGATTGGCAGAAGCATGATGCAGACCTGTGTTAATAATCACTAGGTGTGGACAGCACTGACCTCCCTCTGTCCTCACCAACATCTCCAGTGAAGGGGACCAGGCCTGAGGGCATGGCCTTGGCCAAGGTCACACACAGGGCCTACAAGCTCCAGACAGAGCGGCATCTTCCTCCCTCCCCCCCTCCACTTCTGGCACAAGTGGATGGGAGTGTGAGTGAGGGGCCGGCCCAGGGCATCCATCCCTCCGGACTGGGCCAGAACTGGGCCAGAGCTGGGCTCAGACGAGCTCACTGTGGGTTGGGCGCAGCAACACCGTGCACCAGGCCCCTGCCTCCCGCAAACTGTCCAGGCCCCCTGGATGATGGTGTGACCGTGCCTCCTTTGCAGGACTGAGGCCCAAGGCGACCACCAGGATGCTGCAGGGCCTCTTTGCAGCACTGCTGCTCGGGGGGCTGCTGGGGACTCTCCATGCCCAGCAACAAGAGGCCATCTCACCCGACATCACCACCTCTGAGAGGACGAACAGCTGCCCAGGTACCGGGGCTCAGGAGGGAGTGGCCACAGGGAAGGGAGGGGAGCCCAGGGGCAGGCCATGATACCCTGTGTCCCCAGAGAAGACCGACTGCCCTGTCAACGTGTACTTCGTACTGGACACCTCGGAGAGTGTGGCCATGCAGTCACCCACCGACAGCCTGCTCTACCACATGCAGCAGTTCGTGCCACAGCTCATCAGCCAGCTGCAGAACGAGTTCTACCTGGACCAGGTGGCGCTCAGCTGGCGCTACGGCGGCCTACATTTCTCTGACCAGGTGGAGGTCTTCAGCCCTCCAGGCAGTGACCGTGCCTCCTTCACCAAGAGCCTGCAGGGCATTAGCTCCTTCCGCCGGGGCACCTTTACCGACTGCGCGCTGGCCAACATGACACAGGAGATCCGCCGGTCGGGGGCTCGCGGCGTCAACTTTGCCGTGGTCATCACCGACGGCCACGTCACGGGCAGCCCGTGCGGCGGCATCAAGCTGCAGGCCGAGCGGGCCCGCGACGAGGGCATCCGGCTCTTCGCTGTGGCACCGAACCAGAACCTGAATGAGCAGGGCCTGAGGGACATCGCCAGTACCCCTCACGAGCTCTACCGCAGCAACTACGCCACCATGCGGCCGGACTCCACTGACATCGACCAGGACACCATCAACCGTATCATCAAGGTCATGGTGAGCAGGGGGTCCCTCAGGGAGGACACGGACGGCGAGACCCCACCAGGCTGGGTAACCGCACAAACCCAGACTCACCCTGACCGAGGCCCTCCTTATCTTTCCGCAGAAACACGAAGCCTACGGAGAGGTGAGTGGTGCCTGCCTGCCCTGGCCTGCTGCCTGCTGCCTCCCAAGACCCCACAAAGCAGTGCTTGCGGCTCCAGCTCTCGGGGGCTGGAGCTGTACGTGGAGAGGAGGGAGCAAAATTGTCTGCTCTGTGCTGGACTCAAATCTCATGGCTCGGACAAGGGATCCTGCCCAAACCAGGCTGCTTAGCTCAAAGATAGGTCATCCATGAGTGCAGGGCTTGAAGGTCACTCATGGCCCCAGGGAGCAGCTGTGTCCAGCCCAGCCTAGGTCAGGGGATGGCATCGTGCATCCTCAGATGTCTGTGACCCCCCGCTTGCCTGTGTGCCATGTGCCAGCCCTGGCTCCCAGGAAAGGGGAGCAGGTGCCTGAGGGCCCCACACAGTGTGGGCCGAGCTGCTTCTCGGAGTCCATGGTGTAACCCTGTACACAGATGGTGCCTGGTCAGTGCCAGTTGCTCCTTCAACCTTGTTACAATCCTTGAGACAGAAAGGCTCCACCCACCGAGTACCCAAGTATCTGCTTCTTCATTCTGGTCCCCTGGGCTTGACAGGCACTTTGGGGGCCTCTCTGAGAGTCCTAGCCACGTGAGCCCTGAACCCCTATCGTGCCAGGGACCCTTCTCACAGCCGGAGCCACTGTCCCTCCACTGTGCCTTCTCATTTCAGTGCTACAAGGTGAGCTGCCTGGAGATCCCCGGACCACCTGGCCCCAAGGGCTACCGAGGACAGAAGGTGAGACCCCGGCCACCTCAAACCCCACATCTGAGGCCAGCTGAGCCTGGGTGTCTCACACATCCCACCCTGAGAAACTGAGATCCAGATCTGTCCACTCCCTTTTTAAAAATGTTTTGAAAAAAGTAAGGCTTTTTTTAAAATTTTTTTTATTATTTTATTATTTTATTATTTTATTTTTGGTACCGGGGACTGAATTCAGGCCCTTGCTCTTGCAAGGCATAGCCAGAACCACTGAGCTAAATCCCCAGCAAAGTAAGACTTTTTTAAAAAATTATTAAGCCATACCATTAAAACACTTGTCAAGCAAGCAAGCAAACACTCAGGCCTAACACAAGACACATTGCTGTTAGGGTTGTGGCTACTGATTCACAGAGGCACCCACAGCGTGGCTTATTAAATAGCAGGTTCTGCAGACTCTGCTTTGAATGGTCCCCTGCATTCCTGACATCAGAAGTGTAAGGATCCTTCCAGACTTTACCGCCAGATCTGAAACAGCAACCATCCTGTCAAAAACCTCAAGGCAGAGGCGGGAGAATTCTGCAGCCAGATAGGAGCATTAAAATAACTCTCAGAGGAAGTTACCACTCAGGAGCCTCCTGCATTCTTTCCAAATGCTGTGACAGCTTCTAGGCCCGCCCCCCTGTCTGATCCTGGCAGCAAAGCCCACCTTGCCACAACCAGGAGTGACACTGCCGTGGAGCAGCCCGGCCACCCGCAGCAGTGGTGGCCAGGGCCTGGTGGGGCACAGGGAGACCTGGAGCAGGGCGTGGCTGTGGCACTCGGAGCCCCTGCTCAAGCCCCCACTTCTCTCAAATCTCCCTCCTCCTCTGCCCCTCTGCACCTGAACAGAAAGCACATCAATAAGTGGGTTCTCCACTCCAGGGATGCAACCTCTGTAGGGCTTCCTGAAGCCTTGATCTGGGGCAGTTGCTGCGCTCCCCACCCCATTCGGAGGATTAGTGTCACCATGAATGCCACACTGTCCTAGGGACAATCAGAGCCCTGCAGCTGCAGCCGCAGGAGCAGAAGGAAACCCCTGTGCAGGGTGGCTTCCTGGAGCTCAGAGGCGGGGACTGGCTCCAAGACCTGGGTGTGACCAGCGGCCCTCAACCTGCCCCCTCTCAGGGGACCAACGAGGCCCCCATTGCTCACCCTTCCACCCCCACTTAGGTGACCGTTTTCCCTGCCATCTGCTTTAGGGTGCCAAGGGCAACATGGGTGAGCCAGGAGAGCCGGGACAGAAGGGGCGACAGGTAAGCACTCCCACCCCAGTCTCCCAACCACCCTCCTGCACCCCAGAGCTGGGGCTCCATGCAAGACTTTGTCCTTTCCCAGGGAGACCCCGGCATCGAAGGCCCCATCGGATTCCCAGGACCCAAGGTGAGCTCCACTGGGTGGTGAGGGGCCTGGTTCAGGAGACCTCGCACTGTCTGGAGCAGGCTTCCCCTCCCCCGTTACCGCCTTAGTCTCACGACCACCCCAAGACCAACCATCCTTCTGAACCCTCGTCCAGCCTTTGTTCAGAGCCTGCATGCAGTTCCAGGCGACAAACACTGGACCCTGCTCACCCTTTGTTCTCAGCCCATCTCCCCATCTTCCCGGTCCTCCCAGCCCCACCCTCCAGGACCCCAGGGTGCCCTGGTGATCCCTGTCCTTTCCTTCTGCCCTAGGGTGTGCCTGGCTTCAAAGGAGAGAAGGTGAGTTTCAGTGGCGGAGTCAGAAGCAGATGGGTGCTGCAGCCCACCAGGCTGTCCTAGCTCCAGGGGGAAGCTGGGTCTGAGGGTGGTGAGTGGGGTTCCTCCAGCCTCCTGCCTGCCTGAGGGCTCAGACAGCACCGCAGAGATGGGGGTGTCCCATGCTGGGAGCTCAGCTCACATCTGCTTTCCCCTCCACAGGGAGAATTTGGAGCCGACGGAAGGAAGGTAAGCAAGCACCCACTTCCCTGCTGCTGAGGGGATCAGGATCAGCACTCATGACACATCTAACTCCTTTCCAGGGGGCCCCCGGGCTGTCAGGCAAGAACGGGACCGACGGACAGAAGGTAGGGTGAGCCTCTGCCTGTGCCCTGGCTGTGCACACACACACACACACACACACAGACATACATACACACGCGCCCACTCATGCAGACTCACGCACACGGAGACGGGGGACACTGCCCCAGCCTCGTCCCCACCCATCAGGTTGCCCCATTCGGCCTCGAGTCGGGGCCAGCAGTGCCTGTTCTCCCTCATTGAGCCCCAAATCGCATGACCTCTCCTCTGCTCCTTCGTGCTTCAGGGCAAGCTGGGCCGCATTGGACCCCCAGGCTGCAAGGGAGACACCGGAGCCCGGGTGAGGATTCTGGGTCCCTGGAGACCAGATGACCTTTCTGAGGCACCTGGCTCCTCCTGCCTGCCCAGCCCTGGACACAGCCTCTGGAGCTTCTGGGACAGCTCCCAGGCAGCTCATGGGGTCATCCGCCTGCCTGGTGTTTGTTCCTGTGGGCTGGGTGCCATGGGCCAAATCCTCAAGGCTGGCCTTGTGGATGGGGTCTCGGGAGCCAGGGCCCCACAGCTGGGAGAGACCCCTGAGGCTCGGAAGACAGCACTTTGCTGCCCTTCCTTGGGCATCGGGGGCCCCGGCCGACACCAGTCCTCCCCTTCCCTCAGGGCCCTGACGGGTACCCAGGAGATGCTGGGAGCCCAGGCGAGCAAGGAGACCAAGGTGCCAAGGTGGGTGACTGAGAAGGAACCCCACAGAGAGTGCCTGTCCCCAAGGCCAGCCATGCATAACTGGTGCCACCAGAGCCCCTGCAGGGAACCTGCTACCCAAAGCTGGGCAGCTCTGACCTGGCTGCCCAGGACCCTGAGCTCAGCCTCCATCCTGTGTGTCCCTGTCACCTGTGCCCCCTAGAGGGTTCAGAGCAACCCATGCAGACCACACCCGGGTCCTGACATTCTGGGTGTTCCAAGGATGGGGGTGGGCAGGTAGGAGACCCCAAGACCCTCCTGGTCCTGCTCCTCCCTCCAGCGGGCTGAGCTGATCTCTCTAAACCTCACAGGGGGATGCTGGCCGCCCAGGACGCAGGGGCCCCCCAGGAGACCCCGGAGACAAAGGAAGCAAGGTGAGCCCCTTGGGAACAGCCACCCAGCCACCAGCTGCTCTGCCCTCATGGGTGTGAGGATGGAAGGAGCAGCGGACCAGCTCTTGCCGAGCACATGCAACCACTCTGTCGTCTGCGGCCAGGCGCCATGGGCCGCTGGGCGTGAGGGTCCTCAGCCACCACATGCACCTGCTCATAGTGGCTGCACTGTCCCCGCCCATCGCAGGGTTACCAAGGCAACAATGGAGCCCCTGGAAGTCCTGGTGTGAAAGGAGCCAAGGGCGGACCTGGGCCCCGAGGACCCAAAGGCGAACCTGTGAGTCCCCAGCCCTCACAGCCCCAGGCTGAGGGTCCCTTCCTCCTCAGCCACCCCTCTGGAAATGGCACCAGGGCCCAGCCACACCCTGCAGGCCCCTGAGGTCCCCAAAGAGGGGCTCCATCCTGGCCCAGCAGAGCCCCAGTCATGGTCCTCAAACGCCAGCTCTTCAGGACTGCAGCCTGTCCTTGGGGGCTGGAGCTCACAGCAGGGCCCCAGGGAGGGCAGAGTCCAAGTAGCCACCAACACGCCTGTTCCTGCAGGGGCGCAGGGGAGACCCTGGAACCAAGGGCGGCCCAGGCGGAGATGGCCCCAAGGGGGAGAAGGTGAGTCCCTCGGGAGCCTGGCCACACCTCTCGGCACTGGGGTCTTACCCTGGACTCCCAGACCTCGGCCTGTCCATGTCTATCAGGAAAACCTCAGGGGTGGCAGGGGTGAGGGCTATTCCCAGCAGGGTCAGGGAAAGTGGGCTCAGATAGGCGGGATTCCCACTCCCAGCTCCTAGAGGGTCCTGGAGATCACTCCCCACCACTCCACACGGGCCCTGGACGCAGAGTCCCTGCTGCAGACACACGAGCTCTGGAGGGAGGTGCAGACAGGCTCTGTGGCACAAGCCACACCTCAGTTCCCTAGAGACGAGGAGCGATGCCCGCCGAGGCGGCCGGCGGAGACAGGGCAGTGGGATGAGGACGCTCCTGTTCCAGCGTCACCCACTCGCCCCACACCGTCCCAGCTGTGACCTGACCAGGCTCTTCCCACAGGGGGACCCTGGCCCTGAGGGGCCCCGTGGCCTGGCTGGAGAGGTCGGCAGCAAAGGAGCCAAGGTACTGGGGCTGGGCGGGTGGTGGGAGGCACTGGCCTGTGCCCCGCCCCCCACAGGCCCCACCGGCTGAGGTAGGGCCGGGCTGGGAACCCCCAAGCAGCAGGGCCTGGGCTGGGCCTCAAAACCAAATCTGAAGGGCCCACATCTAGGTCTCTGAGGCCACCCGGACCCAGCCTGGTCCCTTCATTTGCAGGGAGACCGAGGGGTACCTGGACCCAGAGGCCCCCAGGGGGCTCTTGGGGAGCCTGGGAAACAGGTCAGTATGAGGCACCCCGTCCCATCCAATCCTGGTCCCATCTGTGGCTGCCAGTCGCCCTCCTGTGGCCGGGGATGGGGAACCGCCCCCTCGGATCCTGCTCAGCCGACCCTACTCCTAGGGTAGTGGAGAGCTGGGACTGTGTGGCCTGGTGGTCAGAGCTGGCCTGGGTGGGTGGTGACCCCTGGATGCCCGTCAGTCCCTGACACTGCAACTGTGCTGACCCCCAACTTCTCTCCTGTCTCAGGGATCTCGGGGAGACCCCGGTGACTCCGGCCCCCGAGGAGACTCAGGACAGCCAGGCCCCAAGGTACAGCCTCCCCTGGACAGGGCCTCTGCTCGCACCTCTGGTGCAGCCGTTTTCCTCTCATCCCCGGAGGGGTGGGGGGCCCTGGGGTCCCCAAGTGCCCTTCCCCACGCGGGCTGCAGGGCCCACGCACAGCACAGGTAGCCGTGCCATCCGTCCTCAGCTCACACTCCCACTCCACATAACTCCCCTCTTCCTCCAGGGAGACCCTGGCAGGCCTGGATTCAGCTACCCTGGACCCCGAGGGACACCCGTGAGTCTGGGCGTGGGTCAGGGGCCGGGACAGGGCTCGACTTTGTTCTCAGCAGCCCCTCCAGGGCTCCCCTGTTGGGGTCACAGACAGGGCCAGCCTCCAGGACAGTGTGTGTGGTGTGGATGGTGCCCCGCCTGAGGCATGTGTGAGCTCCTTGTGAGTGCTGATGGTGGGGCTTGTCCCTCCCAGCCTGAGACCTGAAGTCTGACCTTCCTTTCCTTTCCAGGGAGAGAAAGGCGAGCCTGGCCCACCCGGCCCAGAGGTACGCGGGCCCTGCAAGTCTGTGCCTCTTCCCACTCCAAGGGTGGGGGTCCACATGCTACACCCGTGGTGTCCTCCACGGCCACATCCCCGTCCTGGCCAGGCCCCACAGCCAGCGACCTTGCAAGGTGGCCGACAGCCACGGCCAGGTCCCTTTTGACCAAACCTTGACTTATTTGGAAGCTGCTTTGGATTTGCCCCTCAGCGGACCTGAGTCACAGCCCCATCCCTCCTGACAGCAGGGCCTGGTCCCTGGCAGACTGGTGAAGGTCTCCGTGGGTAGGCGGAGCCTGAAGATGGATGTCCCCACCCAGACTAACGTGTGTGTCCCTGCCACAGGGAGGCCGAGGAGACTTTGGCATGAAAGGAAGACCTGGGAGAAAAGGCGAAAAGGGGGAACCCGTGAGTGTCATGGTCCCCTCGCAGTGGGGGCCCGGGCCTGAGCGTGGTGAGGGCCTGCGGCTGACCACATCCACCTAAGAGGATGCTGGCTCAGGCCTCCTCCCACCCCGCCCCGCCTGCCCCGTGTCACCACTTCATGTCCCCTCCACCCACACAGCGCAGGACGGGCCAGGTGCCCAGCAGGCGGTGTAGTGGGTGGGTGGCTGTGGGAGGGAAGGACGGAGCCCAGACCGGGTGGACAGACAGACGGGGGAGCCAGCAGTGAGTGCACAGGCAGAGGACGGTGGCTGGATGGGTGGTGGGCAGATGGACGGGTGGAGGTGGGCGAGAGCAGGCAGGGGGACAATGGTGAGTGGATGTTGGGTGCTGGGGATACCCCGTCTGGGTCATCACCCAAGCTCCTCTGCACTGCACTCCTGGCCTCCCCGGTGGCAGGGCCTGGAAATGCCTGAGCAGGTAGCAATGCCTGCAGTGCCCAGGAGGGAGACACAGCTAATTTGGGGGAGCAGGGACCCACCCAGGGCATTGCTGAGCCCTCCTGTGCTCTCCTACACAGGCTGACCCTGGTCCCCCGGGAGAACCGGGCCCTCGGGGGCCAAGAGGAGACCCAGGACCCGAGGTAGGCTGGTCCCTGTCCCTTTCTTCACTGGGGCTGCCCCTGGCCAGTGTGCCATTCTTGTGCCTCTCTGCCCTTCTTCCTGTAGGGTGAGCCTGGTCCCCCCGGAGACCCCGGCCTCACGGTAGGTGTCACAGAGTGGGCTTGGCAACCTTGTCTGGAAGTGTCCTTCTCGCTCCTAAACACCAGGAACAAGGGCAGCAGTAGGGGGTACTGGGCAGGGTGAGGCCAGGGCGAGGCCATGTGGGTCATAGCCACCTCCCTCCTCGGTCTGCACGCCACATGGGTGTGGGACGTCACAGTTCAGGGCCGGAGACCCCTCTGGGGACACTCCCTGAGACACCATCTGGGTGCCGTGTTGCAGGAGTGCGACGTGATGACCTACGTCAGGGAGACCTGCGGGTGCTGTGGTGAGTCCTGGCCCACGTCCCCGCCTCCCGGGGGCTGGGGGTCTCTTGCAGCCCCCCAGCCCGCAGTCCACTGACCCTGCTGCCCCCCAGACTGCGAGAAGCGCTGTGGTGCCCTGGATGTGGTCTTCGTCATCGACAGCTCCGAGAGCATCGGCTATACGAACTTCACCCTGGAGAAGAACTTCGTCATCAACGTGGTCAACAGGCTGGGGGCCATTGCCAAGGACCCCAAGTCAGAGACAGGTCAGGGAGTGCGGTGTCCCAGGCAGCATCTCCCGCGTCACTGGGGGACGGTGCTGGCCTTGGGCGTCTCATGCAGTGGCCATTGCAGGGACACGTGTGGGCGTGGTGCAGTACAGCCATGAGGGCACCTTCGAGGCCATCCAGCTGGACGACGAGCGCATCGACTCCCTGTCCAGCTTCAAGGAGGCTGTCAAGAACCTGGAGTGGATCGCGGGCGGCACCTGGACACCCTCTGCCCTCAAGTTCGCCTACAATCAGCTCATCAAGGAGAGCCGGCGCCAGAAGACACGCGTGTTTGCTGTGGTCATCACGGATGGGCGCCACGACCCACGTGACGATGACCTCAACCTGCGGGCGCTGTGTGACCGCGATGTCACGGTGACAGCCATTGGGATTGGTGACATGTTCCACGAGAGGCATGAGAGCGAGAACCTCTACTCCATCGCCTGTGACAAGCCACAGCAGGTGCGCAATATGACCCTCTTCTCTGACCTGGTGGCCGAGAAATTCATCGACGACATGGAGGATGTGCTGTGCCCAGGTGAGGGGCCCCATATCCAGGTGGGAGGGTCACATGCCCAGGAGAGGGGATCTGGAGGTCCCACACCCAAGTGCAAGAGGGTCCTGTGCCCAGGTGAGAGGCCTTTGCCCAGGTGGGCAGCAGGACCCAGTGCTGACCTCAGGGTGGGCCACTGCGCACCCACTGAGGACCTGGTGGGCACTGATGGAGACCTTGGCCTCTCTCCTCTCTTCCAGACCCTCAGATTGTGTGCCCAGAGCTTCCCTGCCAAACAGGTAATGTGGGTAGCCTAGCCCCCACCCCAGGCTGGCGGAGCAGCCCTGGCTTTCTCCTACTTAGGCTCAGGGCCAGGGTTGAGGGGCTCATATGACCTGGGCCATGTGCTGTAAAGATGTCCCCCAGGGGAACACCCTTGGAATTGGTGGCCCCAGGGCCCAGCACAGGGTGAGCCTGCTGTCAGGCTCAGTCTGGCACCTGGGCAGTGCTGCTGGCCAGGGCTGTGCCATCCTTGGCTGCTATTGGATCAGAGGGCAGGCGTTCTGCAGGGAGGGAGTCCCTGCTTGTGGCCTCAAAGTCTCCCTGTGCACTGGATGGGTGCGTGGGTTTGGAGGGTGTGCGGCCTGGGCAGGAGGCACACCCCCCAGGTTCGGAGGATGAAATAGCTGAGGTAAGACTTCTGAGACAGATGTGCCAATAGCCACGTAGCTGCCAACGGCTTGCTTTAATCCTGCCATCCAGGCTGGAAGGGATGCCAGGGCTCTGCCACTGGGACTGGGGAGGACAGGGTTACCTCTGCTCTACTGCGCCTTGAAGCTGCAGGTGACTAAACACCAGGGGCCCAGGAGCTGCCCTTGCAGGAGTCCCTGGGGGTCACCGCAGAGATGGTGGTTTCCCCTGGCACAGGCAGCAATCCCCCGGCTCTAAGGGCAGGTAGGGAGGAGCGTGTTGGGCCGGCCCGCTCAGCTGGGACAGAATATCCTAGGACCCACTCCACAGCTGTGCCTGGGCAGCCTCTCCATACACTTCTCTGGTGACAGCTGCGTGTGCTTGGTCCCTGATAGAGGTGGGGCCTGGGGACTGCACGAGAGGCCTGGTGGGAATCCACGGGAGCGGCACTTCCACAGGGGCTGCCCAGACAGACACTGGCCTGAGCCCCAGAAGGGTCACATGGGGAACAGATACGCACACAGCTCGGCCCCTCGGACAGAAGCCAGCTCGTAGCACAGCTCAGGGTCCTTGCTTTCTCCTGACTGTGATGCGAAGGCCTTGTTTCTCAATGAGGAAGCGGCTTGGATCCACTGTCCCCTCTCTGCAAGCATGGTGGGCTGGTGTGGGGTCGTAGCAGGGCGTGCTGGGTGCTGAGTGCTGTGCACTTGCGCTGGAGTGCAGCTGCTCCGTGTGCTCTGTGGGCGAGCTCTGCTATCTGTACCTCCCTTTCTCGCGGCATCAGTGCCATTTTGGCCTGGACAACAGGCCTCAGGGTGCAGTGGCACCAGGACGTGGACCAGGCAGGTTCCGTGGGATGGGGGCCACACTGGCTCTGGGTGACAGTGAAGGGGACAGGGAGGAAATAGGGACCTAGTCCACTCGAAGCACAGCCCACCTGAAGCACAGGACCTTACCTACCTCTCTGTGCCCACTTCTACAGCCCCCATGCTGAACTTACCCTTCTGCATGGCCACGTGTGGCTGCAAGGCCAATTGGACAGGGCTGCCTTGGAGCGCACTTTTCAGTGTGCTGGTGCACAGCCTGGGCCACAGCCCCATCCACCCAGAACCCCACTAAGGGACCACCCCCACTGAGTCGGGACCAGCGAGGGTGTCAGAGAGACCTTAGCCTGTGCTCAGGAGGGGTCAGACCCAGGGAACCCTGAGTGCACTGGGTTAGGCCTGTGGGCTGGGCTGCTCTGACAGCCTCAGGGTGTGCTGATGACGCCTTCCGAGCACACCCCCTCCAAGGAAGGGCAGCGGAGAGGGAAGGGCGGAGACCGTGCTGGCACCTGCGAGTCAGGCCGCTGTGAACATGGTGGTGGCAGGTCTGCGCAGTCTCTCGGCCCAGAACTTCCCTCGAGGTCTCCAGTGGCCACAGGTGCCACTGTTTGATCTCCTGTCCCTTGCTGCCACCTCCCTGCCTGCCGCTTCTGCCCAGGCCACGCACCTGCCACACCAACTGCAGCTCTGCACACGCACCTACCCAGAGCCCCCTTGGTCCTCTCTCTGCCTCTGTGGAGAGGCCCGACACAGCCGAGGCCTAAAGTCTTCTCTGGACACCCCTTGCAGATGGACCAAGGCCTGGCAGCGAGCCCCCGGTCACCTTCCTCCGCACGGAAGAGGGTCCGGACCCTACCTTCCCCAGGACCATCCCCCTGATCCAGCAGTTGCTAAACGCCACGGAGTTCACGCAGAACCCAGCCGCATACTCCCAGCTGGTGGCCGTGATGGTCTACACCGCCGAGCGGGCCAAGTTTGCCACGGGGGTTGAGCGGCAGGACTGGATGCAGCTGTTCATTGATACCTTTAAGCTGGTGCACAAGGACATCACAGGGGACCCTGAGACCGCACTGGCACTGTGCTGAGGCCATGGGGCTGCTGTGCAGAGCTTATAGCTTGTAGCTTTCCAGGGCTGCCCCATAACCAGGGCCTGGTGCGCAGGAATCCACCTTCCCACCATCTGGAGGCCCCTGGTCCCCATTTGGAGCCCTTAGGGCCATGCCCCCCTTCCCCCAGGTGAGCTGAGACATGGACACCTGAGCCAGAGGAACAACACTTCCCGGGCTCCCAGCCTTTCCCCTCATGTGCCAGGTGACTTCCTGCTGTGGGGTACAGGCAAAAGAAGGGCTCCCACTGAGGGAAGGCAGAGCTGAGGATCCCGTCTCCCACCTGCTGTGTGCCTCCGTCGCCTCCCTGAACCAGCGCCCCACTGCATGTCCACCTCTGTGTCTGTGGGATAACTTGCTAGATGTGCTAGACAAGGTCCATCAGCAGTTGGCATCAAAATAAGCTACGTCATGAAGAAGCTCAAGCGAAGTGCCCAATGGGCCCTCTCTCCCTGGGGCGGGGTTGTCCTTAGGCACAGTGAGCAAAGGCTGGAAGTTTTATAAAAGCTGAAATGTATAAAGTGAACGCACTGCTGTGATCAAGTGAGCTTCTGGAAGGCTGCACTTCGGGGCCCTCAAGCTGAGGGAACGCTGAACATCCTCGTGGTACTGCTGGGGTTAGGACACTTTTCCCCACGGGTTCCCCGGGAGTCTATCTGTCCCTGCGTGCAGATATTTGAGTCCCAGTCCATGGTGTCTGAAGCCATGTGTAGGCAGGGCCCGGCCTCTGCCCTGGCTGCAGGCACACTCTGTCCCTGTTGGCCAGCCTGGTGACCGTCCACATAGGGAGTGGTCTTCTGGTTATGATGCATCTCAGCGGGGCCCATGCCAGCCGCTCAGTGTCTGGCCACACTGTGCTTGCGCATGGGAAAGCCACACCAAGTGGGAAGGACACAGCCGTCATTGTGGGAGCGACATGGCCCTGCCAGCTGCAGGGAGAGACCAGGCCAGGGGTCTTTGAGAGCTCCCCCACCAAAGGTGGTCCTTGTGCAGATGGCTCTGGATGAGGAGGGCCTGGAGGTGGCCACCTGGCTGGGAGGCCCCCACCCAGGTCCCCAGCCTGAGTCTGGGAGCGGTCCTGGCGGGAGGACTATAGGGGAGGCTGGGCAGGCCCAGAGGACCAGGACACATCCCAGTGCAGCCTGGTCAAGGCCCCCAGGCCCCCAGGTCTGGCACCCGCCCACCTCGCGTCTCCCCGCAGAGCTGTACGTGGCGCAGTGCACACAGCGGCCGGTGGACATCGTCTTCCTGCTGGATGGCTCTGAGCGGCTGGGCGAGCAGAACTTCCACAAGGCGCGGCACTTCGTGGAGGAGGTGGCGCGGCGCCTGACTCTGGCACGCGGGGACGATGACCTGCTCAACGCCCGGGTGGCGCTGCTGCAGTTCGGGGGCCCACAGGAGCAGCAGCTGGCCTTCCCACTGACCGCCAACCTGACAGTCATCCAGGACGCCCTGGAGGACGCCCGCTACCTCAACTCCTTCTCGCACGTGGGCACGGGTGTTGTGCACGCCATCAACAATGTGGTGCGCGGGGCCCGGGTCGGGGCCCGGCGCCACGCTGAGCTGTCCTTTGTGTTCCTCACTGATGGTGTCACCGGCAACGAGAGCCTGGAGGAGGCGGTGCACTCCATGCGCAAGCAGAATGTGGTGCCCACTGTGGTGGCTGTGGGCGGCGATGTGGACATGGACGTGCTCACCAAGATCAGCCTGGGTGACAGGGCTGCCATCTTCCGGGAGAAGGACTTTGACAGCCTAGCGCAGCCCGGCTTCTTTGACAGGTTCATCCGCTGGATCTGTTAGCGACTCCCGCCGGGTGCGCATCACCACCCCATCCAAGGTGCTGACCAGACCCCCCGTCCAGACTAGCCGGCTGTACACCAGGTCTCTCCCCTAGCAAGAGGCCCTCCTCTCAAGGCGGTCAGGACCAAGGACCCTTCAGCTCCCTGGGCTCCCCTCCCACCTCTCCATCCTGCCCACTCCCACCCTTGAGGCCCCACACACCAGAAGCTCCCCAGTGCCCTCTTCCTGGCTCTACCCTCAGCCCCTGCTTCCCTCAACTACCTGCAGACCCTCCGAAGGCTTCTGCCACCCCTGCGCCCTGCCCAGGCCCTGCTTCCGCCCTGACTCCTGAAGGCCGGCCTCGGCACCCCACGCCACGTACTCCACAGACCAATAAAGGTTGGAACCCTCAGGCTGCCGCAGCTCCTATATTTATGCCTGGCACAGGCCTCACCAGCTGCATACGCAGCCTGGCCACGTACCCACCTGTATGGGTCATTGCCCTGCATCCCAGAGGGGCAGAGACTACTGCAAGGCACGGACCACCACACTTCCCAGGCTACACGCTTGACAGCCCCGGCCTGAGGGTGCTGGGCGGGAAACTGCCGAATGGTTAGTACAGGCGTGCTCTCCATGCGGGCCCTGGGGGCAGACACTGCGCTGTGTGTCAGCTCAGGCCACCCAGACCTAAGACTGTGTGGCCTCCAGTGTTCATCGTCTTCCAGTCCAGGGCCACAAGTCCCACCTGGAGCTGTGCTGGGCCACACCTGTCCTGGAGGACTTCTGGGAGCCTGTGCTCAAAGCTCTGGGCCCTGGCACTTCATGGCTTGCAACAGCACCATTACTGACTTCACATGGTTCTCTGCCTGTCCAAACTCACCTTTCTTTTCTCATTTTACAACAGTGGATAAATTTTATTGAGCCTTTTAGTATACAACATGAGGTAAAAGGAAAATTGGTTCTCTGTAACCGGTATTTTACACAGCAGTAGTGAAGTATTTTAGAGTTTGGGGGTTTCCAAGACACGACAACTCTCAGAAGTTGGGCTCCGTAGTTTTAACACTAAAGCCTTGAGTTTTCCAATTGACTCCTGCCTTCTGAGAGTGACGAGCTTAGATTCCCTACGTTTCATGGTCAAGTTTTGGCATAATTGCTGATGTTTTTACATCTGAAATGCAGTTACTCCAATCACCATCCACTAATTCCACCTCCGAAATGAGCTTGCTGTTGGTGGAACTTTGGCAGTGGGCGGCCCTTTCTCCCCAGAGGTCCACACTGGTACCGTTCCAGTCCCGCCCCTCCACGCTCATCGCCAGGAGTGCTACATCACCCTGTGATGACTTTTCCTTAAAATTTAAATCTTCACACTCTTCTCTGAGCTCCCTTGAGCAGCGGTGTCAGCAGCAGTCCCAGTCTGCAGCGTTCCTGTGCACCAACAGGGCGCAACATCTCCCTCTGGGGAAAGCTGGGTTTGTCTCCCTTTTCTTGGCTGAAATTTTGTGAGTTCTGATGTATCCTCATCTCTTCAGACCCAGTTTCTCTGGGTTTCTCATCATTTGTCTTCACACTTTTCACTTGCTTACTTTATCCTTTGGATACCCTGGAAATACTTATTTTCAACAAGCTGTCTATAGGCTGTAACCTAAGGACCCTTATTTGCTGTCTTGGCTGAATTTTCAAATATTTCCTAATAATTCATCTAAACTGTGGTCCTGCAGAAACTTGCTGATGCTCCTTCTTTGGCAGCTGCTCCACAGTCCACACCTGCTGTGAATCAGCTCCCAACGCCTTCTTCACTGCTCTGCTTTGCCCAAGTCCTCTGTTCACAAGGACACCCATCATCCTGGACTATGGCTCACCAGGCCCCATGGTGCCTCTGCATGCCTGCTGCCAAATAAGCTCACATTCTGACATGCGAGACACGAACTCCGGGGCAGCCCTTCCCACAGTGCTCTGTGGCGCCTCATCTGTCCCCTCTTGGATGTCACTCACTCATTTTTTATATTCTACCTCTCTGCCGTCGGACTGCGCAGCTTGCAGCCGAACTAGAAAATGCCCACTATTGTATCACCCTCTGCCCCTTCTTCCCCCTCACAAAAAATAAGAGACCCACCCTCTCCCATAAGTCCTTTCCACCTGAGTGTCGCCCTAGGCCACACTGTCGTCAGAAGCTTCCTGAGGAAGAGAACACAGAGGGACATAGAAGGCCCCTCACCCACTGGAGCTCACCCCACACAACCATGACCTGGATCCCTCTGAAGGGAAAAGACATCACTTTCTGTGATGCCAGCATATATACCTCAGACCCAGAGAGGGTGAGAAAAATAGTCCAAGACAGGAGACTTCTGAAACCAGTAATCAGCAAGGAAGGTCCCACTCACCATTTGGTCACCAGCGTACCTACCCCAGAGTAGCAAATGCTACCAAGATCCCCGCCACAAATGCCCTTACCTACATTCTCTCATAGACGTGCTCACCAACACACCCATAGCATCATCCCGACATCAAAATTCACTTACTGACAGGAACACATCGACATCCCTCATCAGCATCCCCTCACCAGAAAAGTACACACTGTTACTCACACAGTACCCCTCACCTTTCACCAATATCCCCTCACCATCACTCATAAACACACCCACACCAAAATTCCTTCACCAATATACCAGAACATCCCCACAAATAAATCGCTGACATGCACACACCAACCTCTCCTTACCAACATCTCTTCAAGAATATGCCTTCACCAACACCACACTAACATTCTATCAACAAAACCCACACACCAATATTTCCTCACCAACAACAGCCCCACAACATGCTGTCACCGACACCCCAATAGAAACATCCCCTGAAAATGCTGTTGTCAACTGCCTTCATCAACATCTCACCAGCATCCCCACTCCAGTGTCACCACACAAATGCCTCCTCACCAGTGCTACCTCATCAACGTCACCACTATCATCAAACCGATATTTCCTTCTCAACACCCCCTCCTCAAATTCCCACTCTCGGCACTGCTTCAACAACATCCCTTCACAATAGCCCCACACCAATATCCTTTCCTCAACACCTTGCCGCGACAGGCCCTCCTCCTCATCCTCTAATCTGCAACACCCCCATCACCATCTACTCAACAATGTCTCTGTAGCAGCATTCCATCGCTGACATCTCCTAACATCCAAATAACAACCTCTCCACAAAGTCCCCAGTGTCCCCTCACCAACATCCCCCAGACAATATCCCTCCTCAACATCTTCACAAAGTCCCCAAATGAATGTCCTATCACCGACATCCCTTCAGAAGCATCCCTCACCTATCCTCACTATCTCTACCAACATCGCCTCACTGTTCCCTCACCAACATTCCCTCACCAATGTCCACTCACAGACAACCCCTTACCATCACCCCCTCATCGAGATACCCTCACCACCATCTCCTCACGAACATCCCACACCAGTATCGCCTCACCAACATCCACCCAACAACGTCCCCTCACTAATTTGTACTGTCCATCTCCACACCAACATCCCCAGCCCAACGTGCCATCACCAAAATCCTCTCATCGATGTCCACACTCCAACATCCACTCAATATTTCCACGCCAACGTCCCTTCACCATCTCTGCACCAGCGTGTCCTCACCAGTATGTCCTCACCAACACCCCCAACCAACATATCCCAAACCAACATATGCACAAGTGCTCCATGACCAGTGCCTCCCAGAAGCATCCCTTGCCAACACCTCCTGACAGACATGGCCACATCATCACTACCGTTACTTCACGACATCCCCTCATGAAATGCCCCTCAAAAATGTCCCCTCACCAACATCCTAACACTGGCACCTCCTCATCAACATCCCATCAACCACATCACCTCCCCAATAACCTTCATCAGTATTTCCTTACTAATATCCCCTCACTGATATGACAGGCCCTCACCAATGATCCAACACCAACTTGGCTCCTTGATGTCCCCACACCAACATCTCCTCACCACCAGTCTTTCACCATTATCTCCTCACCAACTTGTGCTCATTAACAACCTCTCACCGATGTCCCATAACCATTATTCCTTTACCAAGCTCCTCTCACAAATGTCTCCTCACCAGTATCCCCTTACTAATACATTCTCACCAATACGCCTTCACAATCATCCTCTCACCAACACTCCCTAACCTTCCTCCCCTTACCAACAACCCTCCAGCAACTTTTCCCCACCAGTACAGCCCACCGACACGCCCGCACCGACATTCACCCATCCTCAACTCCTCAGCAGCTTTCACTCACCAACATCCCCTGCCAACTTGCTTTTACCTATCTCCCTTCACGGTCATCCCCTAACGAACACTTCCTCATCATCACCCCCTCACCAGTATAACCCTAACAACATCCCTTCAGCAACATCTCCACGCCAACATGCCCTCATTAACGTTCCCCCTCAGCATCTCCACTCCAAAGACTCCACACAATTGCCCTGAAATCAATGTCCCCTCACCACCACCCCTCACCAAGGTGCCCTCACCAGTGTTTCCCATCCCCTCGTCCTTGCTCCCTCATGATTATCCCCTCACAAAGACCCCTCCAGCATCACCTTCCTACCAGCTTTCCCATAAAGCATCCTCACACCAGCGTCCTCTCGCCAACATCTCCTCAGCATCATTACCTGGATGTTCCCAAACCACGACTTCTTCACTCCTGTGGTCTCGCCACCGTCTCCTCACTCATGTCCCTCAGACCTCCGTTGTGGTGGCTGTGAGCCGACTGTCCTGGACCCTGTACAGTCCTGGCTTAGGAAGAAGCCTGCCCCAGACCACACAGAGGCTCCCGCAGGAACATTTTAGGCACTTTCCGCGTCACAGCTTCTCCGCATGCCTGCCTCTGGCTTTTCCCGCCACAGTGCAGACAGCCCCTACCTCGCCCTGTTATGGGACTGTCTCACCCGTTACCTCTTCATGACGATGACCCCAGCTAAGCACCCCAGTCAGAAGGGAGGGTTCCCATGAACTTTCATGGCTCCTGCAGCCTGCAAAGGCCCCACCCTCTTCTGGGTTATAGGGATGGAGACAGTGGCAAACAGCCAGTTCAGGGAGGCCCATCTCTAGGCTTGATCCAGAGAGAGGCTGAGGGTAGAGTGGCCTGAGACCCTCTGGGCCACTTTTGTGGAGCTTCTGAGGATAATGCAGAAATGCAGGGCAGTCAAGGAGCCAGCCTGGGGCTGGGCATGGCCTCCTCTGCCATCAGAGCTCAGGATGAAGCTTTGAATAGCTGATTTTCTGGGGCTGCCTCTGACCCCCTGCAGTTCCCAGGAAGCCCTCCCCAGCCCCAGGATGGCCGCTTCTAGATAGGACTCAACTGAGCTATGAGGAAGGACCCCTTGAGCCAGTGGTGAGGTGCTGGCGTCTCTGTGCCCCCAACCTACCTGCAGACGTAGCCCCTGCCCAGGGCCAGGCCCTGCCTGAGTGAGGCACTGCCCAGGAGAGCTGAGCCGCAGACACTAGTCTTTCCCTCTCTGGAGGTACTCCTGTGCCCTTTACTAGAACCTGGGTCTGAACTCCCCAAAGTAAGGTGGCCCGATCCTCCCAGGATTTTCCAATGTGCATACCGCTGAAACAGCTTGACATAGCACACATCCAAGTCCCTCTGATACTCACAGAGGCCTGGGCCCTGCGGCCTGCAGCCCAGAACCTTCCAGCACAAGTCCACATAGAATCCCCAGTGCAGGGCTAGCAGCCCAGCCTCACAGCTCTCTGATGACACTGAGCTAGGGGCATCTGGAGAAAAGAACTCCTGAAGGCCTTGGAGCTGGTGGGGCTGCATAGGTAGCCACAGTACTATGCATCCGCTCCCTGTGCTTGCCTGGCCCCAGGACCCAGGAAGAAGAGGGGATATCACCCTGCCTACAGGTCCTTCCACCCATGTAGCAGCCACCTCCTTGCTCCCGCCCCATGGCCCTGTGACCCACATCTAGATAAACCTGTGGTCACCATGCCAGGCCCCTAGCTACCAGAAAACATGGTCCATGGGAAGCCAGAGGCCACCCAGGGGCTGAGCCCAGAACCCACAGCCATTGTGTCCAGGAGCCTTGAGGGTATTGTAAGGGTGGGGCTGCCTTGGGTAGAGTGAGAGGTTTGTGGGAAGAGAGGGAGGCTATGGGGACAGTGGAGAGCTGTGGAAATAGTGGAGGACTATGAGGACCATGGTCACCCTGTGGGGAGAGTGGGGGCCCATTCTACGCATTTCTGAGCTGAGACCCAAGGGTGGCCCTGGCCTCGGTGTGGTGGGATCCCCTAGTGAGGACCTGCAAGGTGGGTGCGAAGTTGACTGGGCTTCTCAGCCTGTGCCATGGGCTCACCAGTGACGGCCCCAGCACCCAGGAAACTTGACCAGGCACGAACTCTACAGGGTCTCGCCAGACTGCCCAGGTGGCACCATGTTCCCCATGGGACCAACATCCAGGGCTGCTGTCCAGGCTGACGGCAGAGACTGAGGGGTCTGCAGCTGGGTGGAGCCGGCCAGTGGGAGAGAAACGGGTGGGACCCCCTTAGTCCCAAATGTCTCTCCCCGTCATGGCCTGGAGGGCCCCAGGGCAGGGCCTGGGCCAGCTGTGACTGGAGGAAGAAGGCAGAGGCCCCCAGGGTGGGACAGAGCTCAGAGGCCTTGAAGGCAGTGGGAGTGGAGTCTCAGACCTGATGGACCAGGGTGGAGCCGGCCTCCTCTGACCTCACCCTGTGTGGTGCTGGGCACTTCGGGGCTATGGCCGCGGCACTCAGACCACTCCAGAGACAGAGCGGGAATACCTCATGCCCCTCACCAAGGTCCCTGAGGAGAGCAGGGTGATGAGGATCTCGGCTCAGCAGCTCACCCAGCCCACCCCACACTCTGCTCCCCTAGGTAACGAGGGATTCCTGGAAGCAAGCCACAAGGTGTTCATGCTCAGCACAGTGGGACCAAGACCACTGAGCTCCATGGACCTCACCACCCAGCTCGATGAGCCTTGTGGCCCAGCCAGGGCAGAGCAGTCAGATCTGTCCCCATCCTAAGCCACCTCTGCGACCCCACCCTCGCTGTGGCTCAGCCTTGTCCTTCATTCCGCCTCTTGCAGAGGTCACAGGGCCAGCAGGTCCTGAGCAGGGAGGAAGGGCAGGGACACATGGATCTTCCCCCTGCTCCCCAGCATGGCATTGACCACAGACTGTGGACCCTGCTGTCCCCTCCCTGCTGGCCCAGGGATTCCTGTTCTGCCCCAACCAGGGCTAACCCAGCTGCAGGGAAATGGCTCACAGCAGTGATACCCACTAGGTGCCCAAGCCCATGGAGACCAAGGGGCTGCCCAACCTCAGAGAGTCTGCTCCAGCCCAGCAGTCCCATGGCCCCAGTCCCATGCCCTGCTCCTCTCCAGGAGCCAAAGTCTGAGAAAGGCCTGAGTGTGTCCACCTCAAGAGCCCTCTGGTCCCATGCCCAGGACTGTCATGGTGCCTGAGACCCACACCTGGCTCAGAGCTGTCCCTGAGGTAAGACCACCAAGAACCAGGACAGCCTAGGCAGGGTGCAGGTGGGGCAGGTTGAACCTCTGAGCCAGGGTCCTGCAGGGTCCACCAACACCTGGGAATGCATAGGTGTGAGCTGAGCGTGGGCCATGCCAGAACCCAGGGCCATGAGGGCTGTACACCAGCACCCACAGCACCCACGGGACCCTACCACCGCCCTCAGGGGATTCTCAGCCTTAATGAGCTATGGGAGAGGCACAGCTGGCATCCCAAGGGGCTGCAGGGCATGGGGACCCCTGGGTCTCTGGCTGGACCCCCACACGGGCACCTGCACCCCATCTGGAACCAGAGCTGCTCCCAGCTCCTGTCCCTTGGCTTGGGCATCCATGCCTGTTAGGTACATTTTCTTTTTCTTTTCATTTCCCTCGGGTGCTCTTTCCAGAGCAAGTTTAAATTTGAAGGCAGTAAGGTCTGTCCCACTAGCATTCAGGCTTCTGCTGTGCTCAAGCAGAACAAACCCCAAGGACAGTTGTGCTGGCAGGTTGTGTGTGGAGGAGCCATCTGGGAATAATCGCCATGGCCACCACAGGCAGCTTAGGGGCACACAGCCATGTGAAGCCACAAGAACCAACAGAGGCCCACAGAACCTCTATGCTAGCCATCCTGTGCCCCTGAGTGGCCTCTGCCCCAGCACAGAGCCCCAGGCACCCACACTGAGCCTGGTGCTCACAGCCCCGCTGCAGCTGGGAACCCTCAGCTCTTCCCACCGCAGGGTCCTCTGTCCCTGCCCCCAAACCAAACACCCCATACACACTGGATGTTCAGACTTTATTGGGGACCACAGGTGATTGAGGGAAATAGGCAGGCCCTGCCCCAAGACCCACCTGTCCTCCATCCACACCCTGTGCCCCCAGGGAGCAAGCTATGTGTGGAGCCCCCATCTGAAGGGGACTGAGGGGCCTCACTGGACAAGAAGGTCCCGCTGGCCAGCACTCCCGCCGGGCCTCTAGGCTGTTCAGCACCTGCATGGCCTGGGTCTTTGCTTCCTGCAGGAGGCTGGAGATGCGCTGGTGAATCTGAGGGACACGATGAGGTGGGGGGTCACCCTGTGCCTGCCTGACCTACTGCATCTGTCCCCACAGCCTGGACCCCATGGCCACCTCTTGCCCTCCCCCCAGCCTGCCCACCTGGGTGCCTGGGTGTCCTGAGGAAATATCTCTACAGACTCCCAGCATGGGCAAAAGTTTGGGAGCAGCCAGGCTCACAGACCCCGAGATAGAGCTGTGACCCAGTCAGAGGGACAGCACTCCTGGCTGGGGGGAGGGTGGAAGAGGCCACGGGCCACTGCACCACATCAGAAGTCAGCCTCAAATCACAAAAGTACCTAAGATGCCCAACAGCAGGGCCAGGGCAGGCAGGGTCTGAAAATGGTGGGGGTTCCCTGCGAGTGAGGAGGACCCCAAGGACTTGGAAGAGGCAGCACAGGTCAGGAGCGCGTGAAAGTCCACAGAATGGGGCACTTCAGTGTGGTGAATTGTACATCCCTGAGCTCTACCTCAAGAATAAAAATTTTTAAATAGTAATCATAGTAATAATAACAGTTATCACTTGCCAGCCATGGCTGCTGAAAAAGACCTTTCCCCAGAGCCCATGGCTCCTCTATCCCTGTGTCACTGGTTTCTGGGTCTCTTGCTCAGGAGGCCTCTACAGAAACGGGGACAGGGGACAGGGGACACTACCACAAACCCAGAAGCCACACCCGCCTGGAGCCTCATCCAGCTCCAAGGCCGCACCCCGCACCTGCTCCTTGAACGCCTCGTCAACCATGTCCCGCAGGTTGGTTAGCACATTGAAGTACGCACCAAACACGCTCATCTCCAAGGCTTTGGCCGCTACCTGTGGGGACGCCAGGGAGCAGGACGGGCTCCAGTCGCATGGACCACAGGGCCCCCACCTCACAGGACCTCACCCTGGCCCGACCCCTAGGATCTGCACCCCAGGGCCCAAGGAGGGGCCGGGTCAGGGCATCCAACAGCAGCTTCAGACCCCATGACCAGACCTTGGACGTGGGCATCTTTCTTGTAAACACCCTGCGAATTGTGTGCCCCTAGGGTGGCGATAGGGCACAGTCATAGCTCTGCCCATGCTGTGTCCTCCACACCGGACACAGGGCACAGGATGGCAGTGGTGTCCAACACCACCAGCTGGCTCTGGTCTGTTCTAGGGACAGGATGGGAAGAGAGGGGAGCATGGAGTACAGAGGGCCCATTGCTGCCTGGCTGTGCTCTGTCCTGAACAAGACCTTAAAATAGGTTCTCTTACTGGTCCAAGAGTGGAGACCACTGAGGGGCCCATAAGTTCCCTGTGTCCCCAGTACCTGCAGGTCCGACAGGCAGGCCAGGTTCCCACAGAGGGCCAGCTCCTGTAGCACTGGCCACAGTGGGGACACTGTCTCTGCCAGCGCCAGGGGCACTTCAACCGCCTGCCTCAGCCTCTCCTGCAGGGCAGCTGCATGTCTGGAAGGGAGGGGGTGATGGCCTGGGCTGGGGCCAGGGGTGCACTCTGACCCCAGCCCTCCACCTAGGGCTTAGCACACAGCCCCGTGGGACCGGAGGACAGGCACCCGATGCTCATCTGGCAGGGCTGTCTTGGGCACTGGTACCCACCTGTTACCCTCCTCAGGTGTGTTCCTGGGCAGCTTTATCACCTCCTAACATGAAAAAGACCAAAACCATGGGCAAAAGATAAGGAGCTGTGTCCATGACCTGCATGACGGACAGTGGCAGAAGAAAGAGTCCTAGGATTGTGAGGGGCAGTGGGTCCCCACACTTCCAGTGCCAGCTTTTTCTCAGGCTGCTTAATGATGGCCAAGGCCAGGGGGCCAAAAAATGTGCTTGGAGAGAGGGCTTTGGTGAGGATCTGTGCTTTATATTCCCTGGCATCAGCTGCAGGGGCCTGAGAGGTCAGAGGCCACATGAGGGACATGAGAGGACAGTGAGCAAAACTTTCTGGGGCTCTTGTTTCAAGGTGACTGAGGACCTAGGAGGTCCCCTGAATCCTGCCCAGATCCCCTCCCACAGCACAGCGTAGCCCAGTGCCAACACCGATTTAATGTGGCACGGACAGCTATGCTCAACTAAACTAGATACAAGAGGTCCGGACTGCAGAGGGCAAGCACAGAGCATATAGCCATCCTCACCCTCACCCACCCTAACCCCAACTCCAACCCTAACCTTAACTCCAGCCCCAAACCCAACCCAACCCTGGCCCTAACCCACTGCAGGACCGGCGTTTCCAGACGGTGCCCTCATTTCCTGGACCCACGTGGCTCCCTTTCCCTCTTGGTGCCTGCTGGCTACCGCTTCCTTCCTCTGGGATTTCTCCCCTCACTCAGCTTCTGACACGGTCTTCTCTGGGTCTCCCCCCAGGTCTGGGGTCTGGGGTCCCAGCTCACCTTCTGGAGGCCCCAAGTTTCTCATGGCTTAGCCCGTGTAGGGTCACCGTGGTCTATGCCCTCCCACAGGCCCCTGGACTGGCAGAGGAGCTGAGGCATAGCCTCCCCCAGCCCCCCACCCAACCCCACGTCTCCCCAGGCCCTGCTCACCAGGCAGGCAGTGAAGGCCTGGGCATCAGCATCTACCAGTGAGGCCAGCTGGGCCGCTGCCTTGTGGAAGGGTGGGATCAGCCGCCGCATGGCCCCATCCAGGTGTTCGAAGCGGCGCCGCCCATAGGTCATCTGGCCGGCCATACAGGCCAGCGCCGCGCCCTGGGAAGAGCTGTGTGGGCACCCTCCCGGGGGATGGCTCGGGCTTCCGCTCTTTGGGGCCCCCTTGGCTTCCCCCATGCTCACCATGGCACCAGCAGCCGCAGCCACTGAGCCACCACCAGGGGCTGCTGAGCGGGCGCCCACCTCACGGACAAAGTCTCGTAGGGACAAGTCCAACAGGCGCTGCTCTGGATCATCGGGGACCAAATACCTGTAGGGCAGGGGCTCAGCAGCAGGACAGGGCTAGGGCCCCACTGGAGTCTCACACGGCCCCCCGGCCCAGCAGACCACCGAGTACAGGGGAGGGAGGGATGGAAGGAGGGGATGGTGATGCGGAGCCACTCACTCAACGACCCGCTCCTTGGGGTTGAAGGGAGCCAGGGAGTCCAGGCCCAGCCTGCTCACCACCTGCCAAGTGTGCACCTGGGCTCAGCCCCACCCACACATGCCAGGTAACCCTCAGTGCCCCAAGTTCTGCCTTCTGTGGGTTCAGGCGGGGCGTAGCAGGCCACACACCCCCACAGCTCTGCTGACCAGGCCCCACCAGATGCACCCGCTGCCTGCAACCACAGGAAACAGGCCACAAACAGCAGTTGCCCTCTGGCCCCATGTGCCCCACAGCCCACTGAGATTCCAATCCCTGTGTCTAGCAAGTTCTTAGTCTGGGAACAGCCCTGCTACCTGTGCCTAGAGTGTGAGAGATAGCGACTTTCACCCAGATCCAAAAGAAAGTTGTGACTCCCATTTGAGATTAGAACTCAGTCCACCAAAATCCACCCCTGAATTTCACAGAGCCCTTCGCCTGTGAAATCCACCCCCTGTGTCAGGGGACCCTTCCTGGGAAGAGCAGAAGTGACAGGTGCACTGGCAGGGCACAGCCTCCAGCATCAGGAAACTGCAGGCCCCAGAGCTGGGAGGCAGAATCTGAAAGCTCAAGGCAAGCTCTGCACAGACACCTCAGAAAGCTGAGGGGAACGCTAGGGATGAACACAGCCCACCAGGCCACAGGAGTCATCACTCATGGCCAGATGCCACCAGCTGCTAGATCTGGAGGCCACCATGCCCGAGGCTGGGATGCTGCCCTGCAGCAGCCCCTCACAAGTGGGGGGATCTTGGGCCTTCGGAGAATGGAACTAGAATGAGACCCCAAAAGGTGAATAAAGAAAAGCCCCCTCCAGAGCAAAGAGCTGGATGTCTCAGAATCTGTCTTCCCAGTGGGCAGGATAGGGAAATCTCTCCTGGAAATTCCTGGTTCTGACAGAGTTCCCATGCTCAGAGCAAAGTGCTCAGGTCCCAGGGGCCCTGGCCAGGTGAGAAGGGACCCTCCCAAGCTAAACCCAGGCACCTGAGAACTGCCACAGATGAAATTAAGAATGTACACTTACTATAGAAAACCACACAGCACAGGAGGAAAGGAGCAGTCACCATGAGCCAGTGACAGCAGAAATGGCACTGCACAAAGCCAGGCCAGCTGAGCCCTGACGTTGCCTGAATCCCGCACAGCCATGCACAGTGCCCAGCCTGCCCCACCCGGCACCTACCAGCCTGATCCGGTGCTCCTCCTCCAGCACAAACAGGTTCTCCCTGTGGCAGTAGAAGGCTGCGGCGTCCAGCAGGGCCTGCAGGGGCACCAGGCCCACCAGCTGCGAGCCCACTACGGGAAGGCTCAGCTCCTGTGGGCAGTGGTGTCAGTCCAGGGCAGCTGAGCCCCAGGGATGTGGGGCACGGTGCCCACCCTGCCCACCTGTGCTTCCCTGCAGGTCTCCTCGTAGACTGTGTGCAGTGCTGTGACCTCAAAGTCCAAGAGGTTCGTGGACACCTGTGCCAGTTTCTTCTCCTCCAGGTACCAGCCAATGCCCTGCACCTTCTTCAGACGGCCCGGCTGCAGAGAAGAAGCATTTTCCAGCCACCGCCTGGCCCTGGCGCTGCAGCTCCTCCCTGTCCCTCTCACCGGCTAGACAGGGAGGGACAGGGAAAGGCCCTCACAGGGAAACTGAAGTGCCAGGGTCAGGTGCAGGAGTGGCAACCCATCCAGACACCGTGCTCTGCCCCTGTGGTGTCCTGAGGCCTGGAGACACTGATGTGGGGCCAGGGGGACCTGTCTCCTGTCCCACTTCAGGGGTCCAACCTCACCTTTGAGGCCCTGAGGTCACTTGCTTTATGGGTACTATGAACAGTGGAGGTGTGTGGTGGTGAACTGGGATCCTGGGCCCCAATCTCCAGAGAGGGAACAGGCAGGCTGGGTCCCCACCTTCACCAGCTGCCGGTGTCATCTGCCTGTGACCTAGACTCTGAGAGTGATGTTGAAACTGCAGTGCCCTGCTGGGGGGCTTCTGGGGCTCCAGGGGCTCCTGGACCGTGTGGGGACGCAGGGGGCGCCTGGGGCTGGGAGGCAGCTGCCCTGTGGCCCTGGGGGTGCAGTGCTTCACCATGGCATGGCCTCATCACAGCACGGACTCCTCAGCTTCCGGTGCCTGAACCCCACCCTGCCAGCTCCAGAGCCTGGCTTCCAAGACAGGGCCCCTGCTGACAGCACCCCCACCCCACTGTGGCATCCTGTCACCCTGCTCCTGGGACCACTGGCCTCCTGGGACATTCGAGCCCATGTGGGAGCTCCCGCACATGCCCCAGCCACTCGCCTGGTCCTTCCCTCGGCCCTGCTCCCGAAGGTTGAGGGCAATGCGGTGGGCCTGCTCCTTGGTGCCCAGCAGGTTGACATTGAAGGCGATAAGGAACTTCCGCGCCCCTGTGACGGTGGCCCCCCAGCTGGGGACAAAGGTGCTAGGGCCAAAGTCGGGGGCCCACTCGGCCCGCTTGAGCTGCAGAGCGGTCGCCTGGTGAGAAGCCTGGCCCCCTCCCGCGGGGTGGCTCCCCCTCCTGGCCCAGCCCCAGCACCTTCTCAGGCAGCGCCTCGTACTCTCCTGCTCGGATGGCTGGCAGGCTGCGGCGGCTGGCCATCTGTGCTGCCTCACCGTACAGGTACACTGCGGGGGGCCAGCAGTCAGGGGCCAGCAGGGCCCTCTCTGGCCTCCTCCGGTGACCTGCGCCCCCACTCCTGGACTTCAAGGGGTGGGAATCACGGCCAGTCCATGATGGACACACCCAGGCTCCCACACATGCTGCCCTGACACCCCGCAGAATGAGGGGTGCTGCGGAGTGCTGGAAAGTGCTGGCAGGACACTCGTGTTCCCTGCTACAATCATTTTCAGCCTGTGATGAATGTAGCCACAGATGAAGGGACACAGAGCTGGCCATGCACACAGCCCAACCCAGGGCTGAGGGCCCCGTCTTGTGCCACCCACACAGGCCGACTTCAGCCAGCTCCCCCCGTCCAGGCGATGGATGTGCCCTGTCCCCAGTCCATATCATTCTCTTGATTTAGGTTAATTGTCTAAAATGAGAGACTTTTAAAGTCTGTTGAGTCACCTGCCTTGACTGCTCCACAGCACAGCCAAATGATCCCTGCTGCTGGGCACCTCAGGACCAGGTGTGTAGGTCTGGGCTATGAGGGCTTCTTTTGTGTTCATTCCATTGTTAGGGCCACAGGGAATTTCCTGCATTATGGTTTGTTCACTTGTGGGTTTTATTTTGGGGGGGTTCTTTAAGGTGTGTTTCTTTGGAGTTCTGTTCTGTTTTGTTGAAGGTTGAGCAGCAACTGAGCTACATCCCCAGCCCTTTCTTTCTTTCTTTACTTTTTTTTTTTTTTGAGACAGGTTTTCACCAAGTTCCTAAGTTATTCATGTTCACCATCCTCCTGCCTCAACTTCCAGAATGCTGGGATTATAGGCATGGCTACCATCTACACTTTCAATGGCCTTCAAAAGCAGAGCGCTGGGCATGCTGGGGCAGCAAACCCTTGCAGATGGTACTTGGGGAGCTGGAGCAGAACCCCTCCCAGGTACTCACCTGGTACGCTGAGCTCCTCTGCCAGCCGCTGGCCAAAAGCCTGGGCACAGAGCACACAGTCCTCCATGCTGACGCCCCTCACTGGGATGAAGGGGCAGACGTCCAGGGCACCCATGCGAGGGTGCTCCCCTGCAGAGGGGCAGGCAGGGTTTAATGGACATCCCTTATTACCCACTCTACTGGCTCCCTGGCCATAGGGAAGTGGCCAGCTCTAGGCACCCCTGCCAAGCCCTGGCTTGGCTGGCCACCTTGAGGGGCCAGAGGACACCACAGAAGCCCAGCACTCAGGCCAACAGATGGGCCTTAACAATTTGGCACCACAACTTTTCAAGGATTCCAGTTGGTGATTGCCCACAGCAGTGTGGTCTTGGCCAGGCTCCACACTTAGCCCTGGTCCACCCAGTGTCCCTACCTCCCTGGTAGTGGACAGAGCTGTGCGTCAGAGCCCTGAGCCTACCCTACATCTTGGGCTGGCCCCTCCTGCCACGATGAGCCTCTGATCCACTGGGTCCCCTCCCTGGGGCCAGCCGGTGTCCTGGCCTCTGACCTGCTTAGACTTCACTGACCTTTGCCCCTGCGCACCACCCCCATCCTGTGTGGTTTTGCATAGTTGACAGGTCAGTTTCTGGGACCAAATCTTTTCTGCCCATACCCCAAGGCCTGCTCAGAACCACTGCTGGCCACCTCAGGACCCAGGATCCAGATGGCAGTGCCCATTCCTCCGGGCAGGCCTCCCAGCCCTTCTTGCCCTGGGCCCTGGCCTCCTCCCTCTTGTTCCACCCACTGTTCCAGAAGTGGAACACAGAGGACATCAGCAGCCCCAGGGCTAAGTCAGAGAGGAAGACACAATCCCTGAGCCACCCTTCGCCCAGGACACAGGGACAAACAGGAACCCTGAGACAGGGACTCACTCCCACCCGCCCTGCACCCTCACCTCGGTGCTGGCTCATGTTGATAAGTCCCCAGGCTGCTCGGGCAGCATTGAGTGCACCGCTGACCACACACTCTGGCTGCCCCACGAAGGTGTAGACAGTGCGGTTGGTGGACGGGCCTGCATCTACATCCAAGAGTACACAGCCCGGGGTCTGTGCAATGGCCCCTGAGATGGCGTCAATCACCTGGGGACAGTTCCAGGCTCAGCCATGCCCAAGAAGGGGCTCGGGGCACACACAGGCCAGATGGTGCTGAACAGCAGCAGGGTTGCTCCAGGACCAGGAGAGGGGGAACTGGCCACTCCTGCTAAGGAGACAAGTAACCCTCTGGCCAGGTAACAGAGGCCACCTCCCCCTCCGGGGCCTCTCAGTGGGAGGCTGGGGTTCAGGTGGAAAGCCAAGAACCTCCAGGGAGGAAGGGGCTCAGGGCCCACTCCTGGGGTCCTCAGTGGCGTGCCTGACCTCTGGCTCAGTTCCTTATAGGTTAAGAGGTGGTGACAGTGCAGGGAGAGGGGTGTTAAACACAAGCGAGAGGGTCACTTGCGCATGACCTCTGTGACTTCAGAAGGTCCTCTGGGACAGTCCTCGAGGGCCCCCTCTTCACAGGAAGCACCATGGCCCAGAACACACACATGGACCCCAGCACCCAAGGCCCCAAGGCCTGGGCTAGGCTGTCTGAATCCCCATCAAACACCCAGCGTTCTTCAGCCTGAGCCCGTGGGCCTCACCTCCTTGTTGTTCCCCTCTGAGAAGTTGGGGACACACTCCACCAGCTGGGACATGGCCAACACCCTGGTCTGGACTGCTCCGGAAGGGCAGAGAGGCACAAGAACCACTGCTCTGGGGTAGCCAGGTCCTTACAGCCCCAGTCTCCGCCCACAGTGGGCTTCTCATTAACCAGGAGGTGAAGGGAGGGGGAGAGGGGCAGGAGAGAGGGAGGAGGGTGGGCTGGCTCCCCAAAGCAGCTTGCGACCGGACTGGGGCCCTTGGGCTAAAGACCCTGAAGGTCCTGGAGAGGTAAAGTCTGGGTGGGGGCATCACCAGCCTGGGCTCCATCTCAGCTTGGCCCAGGGCCACCTACTGGCCTCCCTGGTGACCCTGGTCTGTGATCCCCTGGCCAGTGTCTCCTGGGGCAGGCCCTCCCAGAGGTCAGTCCAGCACCAAGGGCATGGGGACAGCATGCGCGCCTGAGTGTGCAGAGGCGTGCACATATGTGAGTAGGAGCGCACATAGGGGTCAGGGCACACACGTGTGTGCGGCATTCACACACGTGTGGGGCATTCACACACGTGTATGGGGCGTTCACACGGGTGAATTCAGGTTTCTGCTGTGAGTGTATGTGGATGTTAGTGACTGCACACGGGTACACACAGATGTGGAAAATGGATTTTTGTATATAGTCAGCCATAAGTGCCTGTGCATTCCCCAGGGAGCTCCCCAGGAGGCAGAGGCAGGAGGATCATGAATTTGAATCCCTCTTGGGCAATTCAGCAAGGCTCTTTCTCAAAATTCTAAAGAAGGGCTGGGGAGGTAGCTCAGTGCAAAGGCGCTGGGTTTAACCCCCAGTATCATAAAAATAAAATGAACGAATGAATAAATAAATAAATAGAACTGGTATTTCCTTCTGCATGGGGTCCACCATATGTGGCTGTTCTGGACACATAGGGACACCAGAGCCCTGCCATCCCAGCTGTGTGGGGACATCCCAGCCCTGCTGCCCTGACAACACCCCAAACCTGGAGTCAGTACCTAATGCTGGTTGCCTTTAAAGCTCCACAGGCATCTCTCCCAAGAGGGGGCCCACAACCTCAGTCTGGCAGGGTCTGACTCTCCAGAGATGTGATGCTGCATCTCCCACAGTAGTGCTGGGGCAGCCTCAGGGCCCAGTGAGATCTGTGCGGGCTCTGGAGGCCCCATCTGCCATGCAGCAGCTCAGGGGCTGGCAGGAGGGAGCTACACAAGCCGAGACTCTTGGGAGCAGAGGCAGACAGTTTCCCCCAGCCAGGGCCCCACGTCTAGAGCCTGGGAGGAGAGGAAAGGTCTCTTGTGGGCCGAACTGTGTCTTCCCCAAATCTCAATGTTGAACCAAGGTTTTCGGAAGCATCCATATTTGGAGATGGAGTCTAAAGAACTGATTCAGTTAAAATGAGGCCTCTAATCCAACATACCTGAGTCCTCTAAAGAGCCAGGACACAGCCCTACACCAAGGATGACTGCTTGAAGGTACAGGGAGAAGGCGCTATCTTCCAGCCAAGGAAAGAGGCCTTCTGGAGGAACCAGCCCTGTGACACTGGTCTCGGACCAGCAGCTTTCTGGACACACAATGACAAAAGCACGTGGCCTGAGCCCCCAGGCTGTGGTTCTGCTCATGGCGGCAGAGCTGCCTAACCCAAGATCCTGTGGTGCTGGGCATCCAGAACACACCCAGTGGTGGGGACAAGGAGAGGCTCTCCACACCAGCGTTGGCTCTGAAGCCCCACACCCCCATTCTTGCACCCGTGATGGACTGACTGAAACCTACAGGGTCCAGGGACAGTGGTCAGGAGCTCCCAGCAGGAGTTGGCCTGTGTTCCTCCTGGAGCCTGGCCTGAGCAAGGGCTGGGAACACTGGACACACAACAGAGATAGGGTGTGTGATGTCAGCCCTGATTCTTGGGGACAGTTCTGAGACCATGGAAACTAGTGGGTGCTGTAAATAGCTCTGAGTAGAAGCCCTAGGTGGCCCCACTGTTCATAGAGAAAACAATGGAACTGGCACTTTAATTTTCTCCAGGGAAGGAACCAGGACTCTCAACTCTAGGACATCAGGAGGACCCAAGATGATCCTGAAGCACCTGACCAGGAAGTCCAGAGGTGCTTCGAAAACAGACCCCAACAACCAGCCCTCGCAACAGCAAGGGAGGCAGTGGACACAGGAGAACCCTGAAGGTACCCTCAAAGCTGGGACCACCTGAATGCAGAGGTGAGTAGTATTGGATCACAACTCAAATGTAAGCAAACACCCCTGAGTCTGTCATAAATAACAGGCTCAGCAAATAAATGTGGGGAACAGACCAATTTGCCACACAGAAGAATCCCTAGCAAGTCCACGAAGATGCTCAGCAGGTGGAGCTCAACCCCACAGTTTAGACTTGGGCCGGGGCTACACACGAGCCAAGCCCAGCTTGTGCCTCCATCTCATCTACAAAGCAGGCTACCAGGACCCAGCCGCGTCTGCTCCACCTTCCAGGCTGGTTTAAGTCATCACAGGTCCCCTCACCACGGCCGTATTTCCTCTCACTCTTTTTTTGGTACTGGATCGAACTCAGGACCCGGCACTTGTCAGGCAGGGCTCTCACTCTTACAAGAATAAATGCAGGAAGTCCCCACCCGGAGCTCCTGGTAGAGCCCCATATAGATGTGGCAACCAGCATTAATGCCCGTCTTCTTCACCAGAACTCCTGGGGCAGCCGTAGTGCGCTCCACGAGCACAGCCCCATGTGGACATGGTCTCCCTCACTGCCAGACTTTTAAGCCCACATGGCTCCTGCTGAAGCCCTAGCGTAGGCGGGATCTCCATTACTGTCAGTCTTCTACGGTACAGCCGCCTGAGAATGTGGTCACCCTCGCTGCCCAACCTCTCCACGTGCGTGGCTCCACTGCAGACCTCTGTGGAACTGTTCCCCTTTTCCTTTCTTCACCCACATCTTCTGGTACAGCCGCATGTGGATGTAGTCGTTCTTAATGCCCAGCTTCTCCACCCCGCAGCCCCAGTGCAGCCTGTGTGGGTGTGGTCATCCTCACTGTGCGCACTCTCCAACAGCAGGCTCCCATGGTAAGCCCGTGGCAACACGGTCACATCACTAGCAGATTCTCCACTGTCAGAGTTTCCGGTTCAACCTGCTCGGACATGGTCTCCCCGCTTGCCCCTTCCCCACCACGTGGCCCCTGGTACAGTCCTGTGTGGAGACGGTCACCCTCTGCGCACTTTCTCCTCCCCGTGACTCCTGATGCAGCTCTACTTGGGAGTGGTCACTCTCACACCCCAGCCTGCCCTCGCACTGGGCTCCTATTGCAGCCCCTTCACTTCCCAGCTCCCCCTACGTGGCTCCTGGTGCAACCTCAAATTGACATGTCACCCAGCCACTCTGCCCACATGACGGTGACCCACAGTTCTGACCCGGAGCCTCTGAGGAGCACAAGTGACTGCAGTCAGCCAGCCCCTCCACTCCTGGGGACTAGGGCTCAGGGAGGACCCCACCTGCTCCCCCAGGAGCCTGAGCTTCCTCCAGGAGGAATTCCAATCCTGAACCATTCGTGAATGAGACAGAGATATCACAGGTGCTCAGAGGACAGTGGGGAACACTGGCGTGTCACACAGGTACACACATAGAGGTATGACAGTAGGGTGGGGACCGATCAGCAAACCCCCGCTCCTGCCCCTCTGGTCTCTTATGTCCCCAGGGTGGACCAACCCCCCCTCCCCACAGTGCTGCTTCCCCAATTCCTGTTCTGGAGAAGTGGCCTCCCCAGGGCCAAGCTTATGCCATACGGGGATTGCGTCCTGGCTGTCACATCCCAGAATACCAAACTTCTGACCAAGAGGTTGCATTTGCATGCTGCACTGGCCCTATCTGTTCCTAGCCATCCTGTTGGTGCCCAAACCCTTGCTTTGGCTCTGCCTTACGGAACACTAGAGGGGACAGGACTTGCTGGTCCTTTCAAAGGGAGCACCAAGACTTCCATGGTTTTCACAGCTTCCACACTTTCCAGAACTGCTTAAAGCCAGCTCCTGCAGCCAGCAAAGCCCAGGCACTGTCCAAACCCTCAAAGAGCCAGAGGTGAGGCAGACGAGTCAACATGCTTTAATAAGGCCACGGTGCCCTGACTCAGGCCTCCGGCTGCTGGGCTCTGGGCGAGCGCAGGCCGCAGGGGGCCCTCCCACCACCGCCACCACGTGGCAGCCGAGAGGGATGCACAGGAGGCACGCTGGCCCCCTGGTTTGGAACAAACGTGTTTATTGCAGGAAGGGTGAGGCCTCTGCTCACCAAGCGAAGAGTGGCTTGCTGTCCTCCTTGGCAAGCTCACACAGGCAGTTCAGCAGCAGCAGGGAGTCACCCAGGAACTTGGGCGGCACAATGTCAATGACCAGCTTCCGCAGCGCGGCTGGGCTGCTGTGCAGAGGGTTGGCGCGCAGGTCAGGCCGCTGCTTGAGGATGCCATAGGTGTTGATGAGGAACTCACTGAACACCGGGTGCACCTCTCGGCTGTAGCCCAGCTTCTCCAGCCGTGCAGTCAGCGTGAGGTAGCGATGCGTCAGTTCACGCAGCTTTTTCTCATCCACTGAGCCATCCAGGGACTTGATGGAGGTCTGTGGCCAGGTGGGTACATTCAGGGCCACATCAGGGCAGCCAGGCCACCCACCAGGGTGACACCATCTGGGCCACTTAGAGGTGAGATGGAGGCTGCAGGTCACACAGCCCAGGTGGGACACAGAGCCCAGAGCCCGCCCTCGGACACCCGCCCTCACTGGGTGCCGTGGGATGCACCTGCTTGATCTTCTCCGGGATGTTGGACACGGTGAAGCCATACAGCCGAGTCACACATGGAAACACGTAGGCCAGGATGCGCCGGTCCAGCTGGAAGGCGATCTCCCCAACAATGCGGCTGTCCTTCTCTGCACTTGCGAAGCTCTGGATCTCTGTGATGGGTGAGGACCAGGACCCATCTCAAAGCCCGCCCCCTCCTAGCCCCTCTGTAATGATAAACACAGATCTAAAAGAAAACTGGTTTTTGGAGCTGAAGGGAGCGGACTGCTCTCAGATGATCCCGTAGGCTCCCCCTGGTGGGAGATGCGTAAGAATGCTCTGAACGCTGGAGAGCCCTGGCCTGCGGCTGGCCCTGGAGCTGGAGCCGCCTGCCCCCAGGGAATTCAGGTGGACAGAGTGTGCTGCTGTCAAAGGAGTCAGCAGGAAGCTGCTCTCCCTGGCTAGGGGAAGGCGGCTGAACTCTGTCCATCTTTTCCAGGCCTATGGAGAAGACTGTGGGGCTGGCAGACTTTACTTGGGACACTTGGGTTCCTCGTCCACCTGCTTCCAAAGGCCTCTCCCCACCACAGCTAATCTCATTTTTAGGGTCAGTTATTAAGCAATGCCATCTACGTTGATACCTTTCAAAACCATGTGCTCTTTGAAAAATTAGCCATCTGAATTTGAGAGGAGTCAAAGGGAGAAAAGACCAGGGTTGGAGTGGGCGGAATACATCCTCTGTCCAGGAAGCCCATGTAGACTGGGGTGCTGCAGCGGCCCCTCAACCCCATCAACCCCACCTCCCTTTCCACCACGGCCACGTCACGGGCTCCCCAGAACATGCCACTACAAGTCATTCTCCCGAGCCTTGTGCTTCCACCCTGAAGGACACACACCACCTCCACCCACATCCACATCCATTTCTGCAGCCTCAGGGCTTTTCCAAGCAGGGTCTGTGAGCCAAGCCCCTCCAGAGTTGGCAGCCGGGAGAGCCCCGAGAGTGGCCAGCAGGCACAGTGATGAGGAGGCTGAGGCGGGGCTGCCCCAGGACCCATGCTCACCCAAAGGCACTCAGCACCCACAGAGAGGACACCACACCACACAGAAGGCCACTGCTGGTACCCTGTGGCCTCGGGCATTGTTGAGCTGTCCCTCCCCAGCCTAGAGACCCAGGACCTCTGGCCACCAGTGTGTGGTAAGGGGCTGGGCCCCAGGACCCATCTCATTCTTTGAGGTCAACAATCTGATATCAGGAAAGAAAATGACATTATAAGAAAATTATAGAACAGTGTCCCTCACGGATATCACAAACTCTTAACAACATTTTAGCAAAATGAATTCAGCAATACAAAAATGTATATTACAATAATGGAGATTTGTCTCAGAAACATAAGGTTGCCTTAACATTCAAGAATCAATCAATTTGATTTGTCATATGCTGTGGTTTGGGCAGGTATCCCCCAAACGTCCATGTGTAAAGACTGGGCCCCCAGGCTGGGCTTTAAAGAGGTGGGGCCTAGTGGGAAGCCATTAGTCCTCAAAGGTCACTGTAGACCTGGGATCTCTCTCGCTCTCTCTCTCTCTCTCTCTCCCTTTCTCTCTTTCTCTCTCTATGCTCCTGCCATGTGCTGCCCTCATCAGAGGCCCAAACACAAGGACATCACCCAGTCTTGGACCTGAACCTCCAGAACCCTGAGCCAAAATAAGCCTCTCTTTACTTTGTAAGTAGCCCATGTTGACATGTTGTTATAGTGGTGCAAAGCTAACTAAACTAGATGGTTTGTTTACAACAAGTACACATATGATGTCTAGCTTCACATTCCACTAGGTCCCACGACAACCAACACTTGAAAAACCAGAAAGCAACACAGTACATGTTCTGACTCACTCTGCAGCACCGATATCAACTACCCTTCCCAGTGTGGTGAATATTACTAATATTAACCAGTGTTCACTTTTCCTCACTCCCACGACACAGGAGATTCCCCCTCCCAGATGACTTCTTCTGGACAGTGAAATGTAAGCCGGTAGGCGAGAGGTACTTCCAAAGCAATTAACTGATCATGCAAAAGTCTCTATGCTCTACAAGGATCCAGACCCAAACCATTTAAGAAGTAATTTGTCCAATTTGCAGAGGACGAAATATCCTCCCTTTCAAAACTACCACAGAGAGGGTGAAGGACAACCTTGACACCAAATCTGAATAAGGGAAACACAGGAAAAGATCATCACTGGCCAGCGCCCCTTGTGAATATGTATGCCAGTCCTAATGAAACGCTAACACGTTGCATCAGACAGCACTGTTTAATGTGGTACATCACGACAAAGTAGACTTCACCCTAAGAAATCATGGCAGCTTAAAATGAAGAGATTAAAATATTTCATCTCAGTCAGAGTTTAAAAAAGAAACACATAAAATTATTTAAATAAATGTAGAAAAACGTTTGATAAAAATAAAAGTTTATGTTTTGTAAAAAGTTTTTATCAAACTATTAGGAGATGAGACCATCCATAAACTAACAAAAGAAATCCACTAAAACACAACAGATGGAAATAAATTGTTTGTAGATGGGGAGGGGAGGAGGGGGTGAAGGGAGGGTAGGGACAAGGGGGAAAAATGAGAACCAAGACCTGTCATGTAAAGGTACAAGATCCCAACAATGAATGTAACTGTATTGTATCCCTAAAATGTACCAATAAACTCAATTAAAGCAAAAAAAAAAAACAAAACCACACACACACACACACACACACAACAAAGTTCACAATTAAGGCTTTTTTATGAGTCCCTTTAAATGAAAAGCAATACAAGGATAATCTTATCCAACTAATGTGCAACTTTGTCTAATGGTCCAAGAAAAGTAAATAAGATGAAAAATAAATAGAAGATATAAGGATTAGGAAGAAACAAATTAAATTATCACTATGTACACAGAGATACAGGAAACTGATCTATACCATTTGTGAAATTTGTTTTGTTTAAATGCAGCACTGCAGAGCACCAGGGAAAAGATAGTTCTAATAAATGGTAATGGCACAACTGGTTAGGGATTGGGAAAAATTCTAAAATGGATCTCCACCTCATGCCTCTTAAAAAAATAAGTTCTAGGTAGAATATAACATTTAAACTGTTTAAAGATGAGGCTATCTTATGACCGTGAAGAAACACAAGATTTCTCAAATTAGACTGAATAACCACAAACCATAAGTGCCAAGAGGTGTAGTCAGCAGGCTTGAGATTCAGGAAGAGCTAAGGTTAGGCTGACTGACTGAGGGCTGCAAGACAGGAGGAATTCTCTCTTACTCAAAAAAGGGTCTATTCAAGCCTTCTTCAACAATTGGATAAGGTCCACCCCATGGCCACTCTGCCAATTTAAATGTTAATCTACACAAACAACCTCACAGCCTCCCCCAGAATAATTTTTGGCCAAGTATCTGGGTACAGAGGCCTAAACAAGTTGACACATAATAAAATTACCTATCACAAGGGTTGATACAAAAAAAATCAACTGTGTTACTAGATAGAAGAAACACATCAAAATGATAAAAAGAATACTATCACAGCATAAAAATATGAAGCACAAAGGGCAAATTTGACAAAAATGTACAAGACGTGTGTATAAAGAACTACAATATATGGCTGAGAACTGCTAGAGATGCTACTGAGTAAGAAGATTCAATGTTGTGAAGGTACCATTACTTTGGGAATTGGTCTGCTTCACCTTCAGACTCAAGATAATCCAGTCAAAACCCCAGCAGGCCTTTTTAATTTTTTTAGAAATGGAAAATTTGATTCTAAATTTCATGTGGAAATGTGAAGGATCTAGAACAACTTTGGAAAAGGAGGGCAGGCCACTGTGAACTCTCTCAGTGGCCTGCTCTCGCTCCTCAGAGCATACTGCTTTTCCTAACTTTAATAAATGTAAAACCTTTCTACCTTTAAAAACAAAAAAAGAAAAAAGAAGTCAGAAAAAAGCTTGTCACACTGCCCACATCACAGTCTCTCTGTACAGCTGCAGCAACCAGTGCCAATGGTCACAGGCAGGTGAGTCCAGGGAAACACAGGAGGCTCCCGTCACATGCTCATGTTGGGTGACACTGATGTCCCACAGCCTGGAGTGGACAGTGGGAATGGACCGTATTTTAAAATACTGACCCCAGAGGAGTGGAAGTCTATATGCAAACCTCACATCACAGACAAAAAATAATGCAGAACTCATCAGAGATCTAAATTTTAAAACTAAGTCATAAAATTTCTAGAACACAAGCCAGACTCTTTGTGGCTCTGAGTTTGACAAAGTCTTCCTAAATTGGACATTAAAAGCACTAACTACAAAGAAAATAGTTAGTACTAGCCATCATCAAACTCAACAGTTTTTATCCCCCAAAAAACACAAACATGGAAAAGCTACAGACCAGAGGGCCATGTCAGCAAAACATATACCCAAAAAGGACTTGTGTTCAGAATATATAAAGAACTGTTGCTACTCAACAGAGGACAAGAGATCAGCTTTCCTAAAAGGTTAGAACAGACACAACCCTGCACCCGCCCTCCCAGCCCTCTGCCCACTCTGTGCTGCTGGAGAAGCCTGGTTGGCCAGGTTGCCCAGACACGGCCTGCCCCACCCAGGCCCACCTGTGCATGCAGTACCATTGAGGTAGTAGCTCCTCCTCGTCCTGTCCTCAGCCGGCGGGTTGCCCTCGGAGAAGCACACCTTCTTAGGCCGCAGCATCTCCCTGGGCTCAAGCAGTGCCTTGTCTGCCAGTGGGTCCTGCAAGGGGCTCAGGAGTGGGGACAGCTTCCTGTCACCTCGAGTACGCAGCTCAGGGGGGCTGAGGAAGGACTTGAAGGGCAGCTGAGAGGAGGTCATGCAGCCCAGAGAGGCCTCATCCTCACTGGAGAGGGGAGCATGTGAACACAGCAGGTCCTCCAGGGATGACAGTGGCAGCTGGGAGGACGTGTCAGAGACGCTGGCAAACCTCCCAAAATCTGGACCTGGTGAGGGAGGAAGGGGCAAAAGTCAGGCTCAGGTCCCCAGACATTCCCCCAGTGCAGAGAGCAAGGTGAGGGACACAAAGCTCGGGCACCTGCCTCACGGTCTCAGCTCCTGGAGCCCACAGACCTCAGTACACTTGTAACCATGACCCCTGGGAACATGTTTACATGATTTTAAAATCTGTCCTAAATGGTGTCACCCTAGGATGTTTCACCGAGCAATATGTCTTTCTGAGACATCTCTGTGCTCAGCCACTTGGCAGGCACCAGGGTCAGTTGACCGTTTCCCAGCATGGGAGCACACAGTGTCCTTCCACCCACCTTCGTTATGAAGGCAAAGCTGCAGCAGCCTCGCCAGCTGCCTCCTCACTCGTATGGTCTCAGGAGTGTGTGTGTTTGACCTTCTTTGATATCCACAGATGCAGGGCAAACCTGTGCTTGCGTGGCACAGATGCTATGCCATACTCCCCTAGTTCCTGGCCACAGGAAGTTAGGGCTTATGAAGTCCTTTTCCATCCCCAGGTCAGGAGTCTATTCTCCCAGCAATAAAGTAAATACATATTTTAGAAACTATTTTTAAGGACTATAGTGAAAAATTGTCTTTTGTAGGGCCAGAGATTTAGTTCAGTGGCACCACATCTGTCTGGCAAGTGCAAGATCCTGAGTTTGATCCTTTATACAAAAAAAAGAAAAAAAAAAAGTACATTTATAGGAATAAACTGTTTCCCAAGGGAAAACTGTTTAAAAGAAGAAAATTGGTCTACACAATCTGCTTCCTGTCTGCCGTTGGGAAGCCAGGGGTCCCCAGGCCCCAAGCCCCCACACCACACCCTACATTACCAAAGAACATCATGGACTACTGTGTGCCAATCAGAAATGTTAAAGGAGAGCTCTTCTGGAGAATTATTTTTAAATGATTCAATAAGTAGAAAACCTGAATGAGCCAATAAACAAGAAAAACACAGTGCAACCCACTTGTCTCCTGTCTCTCAGGAGCTACCTCTCTCAACGAATTTTCCTACTCTAGCTGAGCATGGTGGCATATTCCTATAATGCCAGCTTTTGGGAGGCTGTGGCAGGAGGATCGCCATGAGTTCAAGGCTAGCCTGGGCTACACAGTGAGTTCAAGACCAGCCTGAACTACATAGTGAGACCCTGTGTCAAAAAACTAAAATAAATAAATAAATGTTCCCCAAAGGACTGCAGGCCCAAATAATGTGATGAAGTCTTTCAAGTTCCACAATAACTCATGATTCCTACATCAGCATATAAGGTTAAAATACTGAAAAAAACATAAAGAGGCTAAAGTAAATTAAAGACTTGTCACAGTGCTGATATCAAATTCCCACAAAGATAATCCTCAGAAAGAAAACTGTGGTTCAGGCTCACATAAAAATGAAGACCAGACAAAAATCCACACAATGCCCCACCCAGGAAGAGGTCAAGACAGACTCAAAAAGGCAGCAGGTTATACAGCCCACCAGCCACAGGGTGCACAAGGTTCCCCCACAGCCCTGGGAGAGGTGAGGGATACAGAAACAGGCTCCAGAATTGAACAAAATAAGCCATTTCTTGTTCTTCAAAAATTAGAACTAGGAGGACTCTTCCCCAGTGCCCAGTCTGTGTCCAGAGGTTGTCATCCTACTGGCTCCCAAACCCAGCCTTCAGAGGCCGGGCTCCGTGTCTGATGGGGACCCACAGGTACATCTTCATGTAACTGTGTGCATGTGCTGAATGAAGAGATGATGCCGCACACACCACTCCTCCACAGTGGAGGATCAATGCCACAGCCTCCTGGAAGCATTTGGCAGTGTCTGTTTCAACTTTTCAAATGCACACGGCCTTTGACCCAAGGAATCCAGGCTAGGACTTTTCCAGATGGCACAAAGTCACAGCCGGCAAGAGGTGCACATGTGGCTGTTTATGGCAAGACTGTCTGTGGTCACAGAGACCTGAGGGCATGCTACTGCCTGTCATGGGGACCAGCTGAAGTGTCCAGCATCAAAGTGTGCTGGACAGACACAGAAGAGAACCAGAAATGGAGTGAGAGATATGGACAGTGGCCAGGAAAGTCAAACTGCAGAACAGTATGTTCCCGTTTGGATAAACCAAGGAGATGAGATACCCACATTAAGACTCATCAGGAGTGCCAGGAGCTGTAGATCAGGCTGCCCGCGGGTGGGCCAGTAGGCAGGGTGAGCTAAAGGGTCATGGCCTCTGAGGTTTGCAACAATTGGACACAGCACATGCTGGAAACGTTAGAAAAGCTGATTTTGAAGAAAACAGCCTGTTTTCAAGACGGATGCTACAGGGCTCTTGGAAACGAACAAACCATTGCTGTGTGGTAGCTCCTTCCTGTCTAGACTTTCCTTTTGCAGGGCCTCAGCAGTGGCTTTCCAAACTCCAGTCCCCAAGACCAAGGTTGTGCCCTGCTGAGAACAAGCCTGCTCATTGGCCTGTGGCTGAGGTCAGCACAAGTTCAGAACGCAGCGTCAGGAACCTGGAGTTGGTGGCTGAAGCAGGGGGAGGAGGATGGTACCATCCAGAGCTGAGCTGGCCTGCCTGTGAGGCCAGCCTGACCCACATACTTCAGTGGGCTCCAGCACACTGGAAAGATGTGGTGGCCTCAGGTTGGGCACCTGCTGAGACTGATGTCCCAAGATCTGGGATCCCTAGGGATGGCCCAAGGGCAAGGCACAAGGCACAGTTGGGAGATGAAGCCCTGGCTTAGTACCTGGCCAGGTCAGATGAGCTTGTGAGCCTCTGACAGTAATCATCACCAGCGAGACCTGGGCTCAGAGCCTGCATCCTCAACTCAATATGACTTTGGCACCAACACCTGTCACATGTGACCCAGTGCTATGCAATATGTGTCTTCAGCTCTCTCAGCCATATGCCAGTGGCACATCTCTGTCCCCCACCCAACTGCCTGTACGGAATCTTAAGTGTCCAACGGCCCATGAGACCCCTCATACCAGGGGTTCTATATGCACTGTGGTGGCCAGACTCTGGACCACACAAGCCCAGCGGACTCACCTTAGGACTGGAGGATGCAGAGCACCTTTTCTGGTGCTGGGTACACTCAAGAGGACAGTGGCCAGGAAGTGATCAATGAGGAACAGGGCCCCAGAGCTTTCTTTCACAGGCTAGCAGCTGACCTCAGGGCATCACACGGGCATGGGCCTCTGCCTGACCACATGGCTCTCACAAACAGCAAGGTCCACAGGCCACTGGCTAGCCATCTGCTTGGTTACAGACGCCAGGGCAGGCTGCAAAGCATCTCTGTCCCTGCCATGGCCCACCAGTGTGAGCGGCCACCATATCCAGCAGGAAGCTGACCCCACCGGGTCACTGCTGACTGGGATTCTGCTGGCCAACCCCCGCTAAAGAAAGGCTAAGGCCACATCCATCAACCAGGCCCCCCAAAGGGAAACTTTACCCAAAGAACTCTAAATTAGAACCAACTATTTTTGCAGAAAGTATCAAATCCTGTTTTTTGTTGTTTTGTTTTTATTTTTTTTTGTGTGTAAACGGCCCTGGAAGTTTGGAGTCGATTTAATTTGGTGAACGAGTTCACAGTGCCATTTCTCCCACCCATTTTCCCAGGAGGCAATAGCAGGGCCTCCCACTGAGGTGGATGCTAACCCCCCTATGAGCAGGCTCAGTCACGTGACTTGCCGTGGCTGATGGCAGGTGAGTGGACAGGATGTGAGGGGACACTCGGCCAGCTGCAGTCCCAGGATGCGAAGAAGCACAAAAGCAGGGCAAGCCCACCGCCAAGCCCAGTAGCGCTCGACAAGCTCAGTGGGTAACCCACCCGATCACATCCCCAGGTGTGGACTGTGGCCTGAAAGAAGGGCCTTCCCAGGGAAACGGGGCAGGCAGGCCTGGCCCCACCACTGCCCTCTGACCTGCACCCTCATGGGCCTGTCTGGCCACCGTGGGCACGCTCACCTCCACTCCCTGGGGAACAGGCCTCAGGGTAGGGGGGTGTCTTGGGGAAGAGGAGGTCACGGGCCCCACGGCCACCATCCTGGCGGTTCTCACTGAGAAGTCGCTTCAGCATCTGGTTCTCCTTCAGGAGGCGCACCTGTTTCTTCAGATCTGCATTCTCACTCATGAGCCTGTTCATCAGCTCACTGCCCTCAGCCATGGCTGCCCTTGGATGCTCACGGACAGACCTGCAGCCCCATAGAGGTGGAAATCTAGAGCCCACAGCCCACAGAAACAGCCACGACCAGAGTTCCACAGCCGCCCGGCCTTCCATGGCCTTGTGATGTCACCACCCTTAAAGATGCAGTACCACTTCACCTCCTCCCCTGGCCCCCAGACACCTCCTACCTGATGTCCAGGCCAGGCTGGACCCCCAGGTATGTAGTGAAAGAGCCACAAACACTGTGTACACAAAACACCCCACACTGGATTAGAGGATCATGTCACCAACACTAGGGGGCGCTGCGAGACACAGGAGGGGTGTGCTGAGCCCCTTTGAGCAGCCCAGCAGTGGGGCTGCTCCCACAACCCCAAGGCCAAATCCTGCCAGCACCTTCCAGGAGAGACAGAGCAGCCTGGCTGGGCACGTTGGTATCAGCTGTCCATTGTGTGAAGTCCTTGGCAGCAGTGGGATTTGGCCTTCACCCTGAGCTGTGACATGACCCATGAGACAGTGGACCCCATATTACCTCCCGACTCCACAGGGCCACAAGCTAGCGGGTCCCACCAGAACCTGGATGGCAACTGGTGTGCAGAGGGTTACTGGGGCTCAGGTGCCAGGGAGATCAGCCTAGAGCCCCAGTGTCTGGGGGTCCTGATGGGGCTGAGAATTGAGGTCACCTTCAGGCCACCGCCCCATGAACAGGTTCTAGGCAGCACACCAGTGTCCACCCCACAAGCTGAGCACAAAGCTCTCCAGACCATCCGTGTGAAACCTGCAGTGCTGGGACCCCTGGGTCTTCTAAATGGGAAAAGTCCCCTTTGTATTCCAGGAGTAGCTTCAGTGAACCCTCAGGGTTCTCACCCAGTTGAGGGCGATGGGAACTCAGGTGGAGCCTACTGAGGGAGCACTTCCAGGGCAGAGGGAGCAAGGGCTGGGGTCAGACACAAGTCTAGGATTTCCCTACACCCAGCTCCTCTGAGGGCAACACCAGCCATAGCCAGCAAAGCTTTCCTTCTACCAGCTCCCGCTGTATTCAAAATCCCACATCTTCTTTAGCCACAGGCCTGTCAACCCCCACCTTGAAACAAAGGTGCTCAGGCAACTAACGGCTCCCGTGCCTCAGTCTCCCTCAGGGCTGATTACAGGCACGTGTCATTGTACTGGCTCTGACACAGTATCACTGGACTCATTCGTTTGCTGTTTCACAGAACTGAATTGTGATACCATCTAGGCCTAGATTTCTTCAGGAAGCTTCAAATTTCCAGTTCAATTTCTCAAGATACAAGGCCACTGAAGTGCTCTTCATGTCAGTTTTGGTAACTGCCTTTTGAGGAATATGTGCATTTCATGCAGGCTGAGATGGGCCTTCCTGCCATCCAAATCTCACCCCTCCAGACACAAGTAGATCCAGTCAAGGTAGGAAATAAAACAGGAATGCAAAGCCGCAGCATGAGCAGGGTGTCTTCAGCAGGAACACGGCAAAGGGCAAGGCTGAGGTATGGATTTCAGGTAGATGAGCCAGGTGAGCAAGCTGCACAGGAAGAAGCTTGGGGGACCACTACCTTGGGCCCACAGTGATGTGAAGACCTTAATTCTGGATTTGTTTTAAATGTGACCAGACTAAATGTGTTAATCTTTTCAAAGCACCAACGTTTGGTTTCTTTCTATTTTTTTACTGTATTTGACCTCTGTATTTTCCATTTTGGCTTTAAGCTTAGAGCCGATTTTAAACTTTTCATATTTATTTACTGCATCCTTCAATAAACCCCACAAATTCTGATGTCATGTTTACTTTCATCCAGTTTGAAGTTTGTTTTGTTTTGTATCTGGTACCAGGGATTGAACTTGGGACCTTGTGCTTGCCAGGCACATGCTGGCACCACTGAGCTAAATCCCAGGACAAAACTTGAAGTGTTTTCTCATTTCCCTTGTGCCCCAATTTTTTAAAAGGCCCTTTTAAAGAGCAGTTTCAGGTTCCCAGCAAAGTTGGGAGGAAAGCATGGGGATAATTACGCACCCTGCTCCCACACACAATCGTCTCACGACTGACTCCCCCACCCGAGGCCCACCAGTCAGGGGGCCTGCACCGACACATCATTACCTCCACCTGGTGTTCACCAGGGCTTACTCTAGACACGACACGTGCACTACAGTAGCAACCAGCACTTCAGGGCCATCGAGTCCCCTGCTCGGCCTTTTCATCTTTAGCTTTCCTCTAGCCCTTGGCAACCAGTTTTCTTGATACTGTTTCTATAGCTGTGGCTTGTTCGGAATGTCACATATCGTAGTCACAATCATACAGTGCGCAGCCCTTTCAGACGGACCGGTTAGCAGGGCTTTAAGGTTTTGTTTCTTTCATGGCTTGTTATCTCATTTCTTTTTAGCACTGAATCGTCCATCACCCTTAAATTATCGGTTTATCCATTCATCTACTGAAGGATATTTGTTTGCTTTCAAGTTTAATTACGGGCAAAATGGTAGATTTTTGTGAAGGACTTTCTGTGGACACAAATTCTCAACTCCTTTTATTAAATACCAGGGAGTATGACAGTAAGGCTGTGTATTTCAAGTGCCGATATGTCTCACCAAGTGACTGCTCTATTTTGCATTCCCACCAAGTTCCTGTTGTTGCACATCCTGACCAGCATCTGGATTTGGGCATTCCAATAGGTGTGCTAGGGGTATCCTGTGGTAACTTGCATTTCCATGATGACATGACATAGAACATCTTTTCACAAGCTAGTTTGCATCTGTATGTCTTTTTTTGGCAAGGTGTCTGTCAGTCTTTAGCTCATTTGCTAAAACTGGGTTGCTGGTTAAGTTTTAGTTTTGTTTGGGTAAAGGTCTTTTATCAGATGTCTTTTGCAAATGTTTTTCCCCAGGATATGTTTTCATTCTCTAGACCACTGTCTTTCACAAAGCAGACATTTTAAATTTTAATGAAGTCCAGCTGATCAATTATTTCTTTCATGGGTGATACCCTTTATGTTTTATCTAAAAAAAAAAAAAAATCACCAAACTCAAGCCAGGTGTAGTGGTGCATGCCTATAATCCCAGCACTCAGGAGGCTGAGGCAGGAGGATTGCCAAGAGTTCAAGACCAGGTTGAGCTACACAGTGAGTTCAAGACCAGCCTGGACTACAGAGACCCTGTGTCAAAAAAACTTAAAAAAAAAAAATCATTGAGCCCAAAGTCATCTAGGTTTCTTTTTGTTATCTTTTACAGTTTTACATTAAGATCTTTGATCCAAAAAGCCGGGCATGGGGTGCATGCCTGTAATCCCAGCACTCGGGAGGCTGAGGCAGTAGGATCGCTGTGAGTTCGAGACCAGCCTGGGCTACATAGTGAGTTCCAGGTCAGTCTCAACTACACAGTGAGAACTTGTCTCAAAAAAAAAGATCTTTGATCCACTTTTGTTTTTTCAATACTGGGGACTGAAGATAGGGCTTTCACACTGAGCTACATCCTTGGCCCTTTTGATATTTTTTATTTTTGAGACAAGATCTCATGAAGCTGCCCATGCTGGGACTGCACCTGCAATCTTCCTGCCTCAGCCTCCCAAAGTGCTGTGACTATAGGCATATATCTATGCTTAGCTTACTGAGTATACTTTATGTAGTGATTGGTTATGGCTGAGAGTTCATGCAGACAGCAGCTACAACGGGGGCAGATCTGTCTGTCCCGACACAGGTGGGAGGATGGAAAGTCAGTGTGGAGAACAATGGGGGTTGTGCCTGAGGCCAGAGAGCCAGAGCTGTTGCACATGGGGCCATGACGGCCGAGGCTCCAGGGGCTGGGCAGAAGGAAGGTGACCTAAAGCCTCTGGAGCAGCCCCAGAGACAACTCTGAGGGTGGCAGAGAGGGTCAAACATGGCTTTCCTACTGAAGAAGCGTGGCAGGACACGGGAATCTAGTAATTGTCAGGATGGAGAGTAGCAAATGGAGGAGGCATCAGCCGAGGAGGGCAGACGCCAACTTGGGAGGCTGAAAATGTGAGTGCTTATCACATGGGTCAAAGGCAAAGCCAGAGCCTGAATATTCTGTCCGGAGCCCCACAGGTATGCAAGCAGACAGGCAGGGTTAGAAGCCAGGATTCAGGGTGCACCCCAAGAGGCATTACCCCAGAAACCTGGCCCTTATCTCACTGCAGCACACCACTGGCAAGGGATTTGAGGGCAGGGCACCAGACCTGCCTAGGGGGCTCTGTGGGTGGTGATAACCACTGTGACCACCCCAGCCCTCCCCTGCTACACACAGCCTCTCTGAATGTGACAACTGCCAGGATGCTGGAGTGCAGTACACTGGCATCCTGCCATACTCAGGATGTTTGTTCAATCCCGAGGCATCCACGGTGAACAAGGGCCCCATCCCATATACCCTTGGCTGGTCCCTCACCCACCAGAGTCACAGGGTTGTTGCTCATCCCTTGGCCCAGCTCACAAAAGATGCAGGAGCAGTGGCCTGCATGAGCCTGCCCCAGGGCCACTCCACAGCAACTCCAGGTAATAAGTGAGGCACACAGCCGAGTGTGGTGGCACACGCCTGTAATCCCAGCACTTGGGAGGCTGAGGCAGGAGGATCGCATGAATTCGAGACCAGCCTGGGCTATATAGTGAGTTCCAAGTCAGTCTAAAAAAACAACAAAAAACAAGTAGGGCAGGCATAGCTGCTCTCAAGTGACTGGTCAAGAAAACCCTCCAGAAGGTGATGTGTGCCTCCTCAGGGTTCATGGTTTATCTTGTTCCCTTCTTCAGCCCAGCCACTCTCAGAACTAAACCCATACTGATGATCAAGTGTCTAAAGTTTATTGTACCCATCCCTGTTCAGGCCTAGTACCAGATTCCTGCCTATAGAAGGGGAAAACGAGGGGCTGGAGGAGCTCTACCACTTGGCTAAGACACCTCAGTCTTTCATGGAACTTGTGAGAAACCACCACCCACCACCCACCCACCACTGGCAGGAAGCTCTCAAGGGTGGCCAGCAAGAGCTCTCTCAGGGTACAAATTAGCAAAGCGGCCCAGCGTCCAGATGGGGAAGATGTTCCTGTAGTTCGTGTAGCTGATAGCACAGGACTTGTTGAAGACCCCAGAGATGTTCTCCTGGAAGGACACAGAAATGACCACAAAGCCTCCACTAGGGCTGAGGGCTTGCCCGAGACTGCGTCCTGGCTATAGAGCTGTCCAGACCAGGATGAGTGCACCCAGGGAAAGCTGACTGAACAGGAGGGCATGCAGAAAGGCAGTTCTCCCCAGCCTCATAACCCTCAGACTTACCCTGCAGCACCACCACCAGTTTTCTGCCAGACTCCTCTGAGGGAAGTCTTGTCAGCCCCACCGCCTCAGGGGCAGGCAGAGATCACAGGGCCAAGTGCAGAGCTCCCACCCAGCCCCTCCCTAGACAGAGCTTCATTCATAAACAGCAAGATTCACTCGGGACCTCAGGACCTGGCAATCTATCCCACACCTACCACCATCACAGTACTCTGGAGGGCACAGTTTGCTCACCCCAAAGTACCCCAAGGGGAAAACGGGGGTGGGGTGGAAACCCATGTGCAAGCCAGGTGAGTGCTTGGCCTCACACTTTTTACACACCTGGGGCCAGTCGCCATTGGGGAGCTGCTTCTCAAGCAAACACCTGACTCCTCTCTCCTGGGCCTCCACGTCAGGATGCCTGGGGGAAGAGGAGACTGCTGGAGCATGGTGGCCTGGCATGCTCCTCAGCATAAACCTATGTCCTCACCCTTGTGCAGCCAGGCACAGGGACAGAACCCAAAATGCAGCAGTGACAATGGGCAGCACTGACCAGCCTGGCTGTTATGTCCCCTTCCCAGGAACCCTGAGAAGCAAGGACATGTAAGCCTAGGTGAGCAGAAAGGGGAACATGTGACCCTAGAAGACACGGCTGACACTGGCCTAGCACAAGGTGCTGTCAGTTCCCTAGGAGAGAAGGTCAACCTCGCGTGCACCTGGCACACTGAAGTACATGCAGGTAAGAATGAGACCAGGATCAAGGGCTCAGAAGGATAAGGGCCAACTATGGTGGGGCCAGGCAGGAGAGATCCCTGTGTCCTACCCTTGAGTCTCCCAGGCTCTGATGCACTTGCTTATGCCAACAAGGGGATTTTAGAAAGATTCCCCATATGACTCATTTAACAGGACAGCACAGACGAGTACACACACCTGTGTGTGTGCATGTGTGTGCCTGTATCTGAGTGCACCCTGCCTGTGTGCACGTTTACCTGCCTGTTAAGTATGCACCTGGAGGCATGTGGCTTGGCACCAGCAATATACACAGGAGGCCCAATGTACACAGGTACATTGCAGGGACCTGAGCTCTGACCACTGAGACGGCTGCCATTGCCACAATGGAAAGCAACCCACAGCATGCTGACCTCAGGCCCCACTCTCCTTGCTCTGCCAGCCACTGCTGCCCGCCACCACCACTGACACGAGCAGTTTACTTTTAAGGAGGCAAACCTCTCTGCAGGGCCCCATGGCCCCATTCAGGTGGACAGGATGCCACCTAGCCCAAGCTCCAGGGCAACAGGCCTCATGGAAGTACCTTTGTCCCTAGAGCGGCAGCTAAGTGGCAGTGCAGCCCTGGGGCACATTCATTTTCTCCCACAGCGGCATTCAGCCTAGGCCATCCATCCCCAGTTGTGTGTCCCTCCTCCACTCCACCCCCAAGCCCCTACCTGACAGCCATTAGTCCCATCAGGGCCCAGCAGGTGTTGTGGACCTGGGACTGGGCACTCTGCATGTAACGCCGCTGCTCACAAGACTCAAAGTCCTCCCCCCAGCCTCCATCCACCATCTGCCGGGACAGCAGGAAGTTGCAGGCCCGGGAGACCTCTGTACAGACAGCCCTGTGGAGACCAGAAGAGTTAGGACACTGTCCCAAGGAGTCCACCTGCCAGGTCTGGCTGCCGGAGGGTTCTGGGGCGGGGCCTGCAGATGGGGACAAAGAGACCTTCCTCCCAAGCTCCAAGGCACAGATACAAATGCTCTGGGACAGCATATGGCCTCACTGGCATGGCAGTCTTGGTACCTAGGGGCACTGGGAGACGTGCTCAGTAGCATCTACGCTGCACCTGGCCAAGCCTAGTTCACTCATTCCTCCAAACACCCACTGAGTCCAGAAGTTGGTGAGGCAGCTAGAGACATGAGGACCTGAGGCCTCACTCTTCTCTGTCTGGCTCAGCAAGTGTCCTAGATCCTAGCTGTCTCCTACTTGGGGTTAGGGACCAGGCACTGCAGGGAGGGTCTGAGCACTACACCTCTGTGAGGCAGCCCATAGCCAAGCTCATGAGCTAGGAAAATAACCTCATTTCAACCTGGAACTCACATTTTCAGGGACACTGACCATACCCCATTATTTTTAAATGAATATACATATATAAAACAAACCTCAAAGGAAAAAACACTGCAGTCTGGCACTTACCCATCTTGGTAGGTATGTCCCATGCAAGCAAAAGCTTCCAGGCCAAACCAGGTGCCATAGGTGAAACAAACACCCCAGGAGCTAGAGGCAGAGGAGGAAAGCCTCACCCTGGGTCCAGGACACAGGCACTCGGCCATACCAATCCAGCAGCAATGCCTATCTGCTCAGCCACCAGGCACAACTACTGCACAGGTGAGGAAGAACAATCACACTCGGGCCACAGCACTTGCCACACACCGCCTAGCCCAGCTTCTCCCACAACATGAGCATTCATACTAGGAAAAGGCACACATCAAACGAGGAGCAAGGGTATGCTAAGAAGTCAGACAGCTGGTGCAGCACACAGATCTCAGCACCACACACATCCGCACCCAACGTGCCAGCACTCCCACAATAAGCTTGGGCACACACTTACCCCTCCCAGGAGCCATCATCCCACTGCTTCTGCCGGCAGAATGCCAAGCCCTGCTCCAGGGTCTCCCTGCAACACAAGCAGGCAGCCCAGTGAACACTCCAGAAAAGCCACAGTTCCTACCCAATTCTACCCTGCCACAGTCTCAAAGTGGACAGTCTCCCTTAGAAATCAGGTCAAAATAAACATTCAGACAGGACAGAAAAAGTGCCGAGGGTTTAGCTCAGTGGTTCTGCTGCCTGCCTTGAAAGGGCAAGGACCCGAGTTCAATCCCCGGTACCAAAAAAAGAGAAAGACAGTATCAGACAGGACAGACAAGAGAGCCACTACAGAACACAGGGGAGGGAAGCACTCTGAAGAGTTCCAGAAAAAATTCAAGCATAAAGGCGACCTCAGGGATAATGCCCATGTTAGCAGCAGGATCAACAAACCGGGTATGGTGGAACATGGCTATAATCGCAGCACTCTGGGAGGCTGAGACAGAAGATCGTGAGTTCAAGCATCCCCCCACTTGGGCAACTTAGAAAGATCCCATCTCAAAATGAAAAATAAGTTTAAAAGGGGGTGGCTGGAGATGTAGCTCAGGGTGAAGGCCCTGGGTTTAATCCCAGTCTCTCTCCCTCTTTCATTAATACACACACACAAACTAGTTGTCCATGTCAGGCAAAAGGGTAGTGTGACACCTATGTTCAACCAATGTTCAAGAGCAGAGGGTCATTGCTGTCACCGGTTTCAGCAAGTCTTCTGTGGGTTCTACTTACACACAATTCAAACAAGCAAGGGTGACCCCTGACTGAGGCAGGTGGGCAGCCCTCCCTAAGGGATGCAAGAAAGGCAGCAGCATCCCTCCCATGGCCCTGCACACTGCTCCAAGGCCTCTCTCCTTCTGAATGTTTGTTGCCCCTCAGTAAGAAAAGACTGCTTAGCTGTCATTTACTTGGATTTATCTGCAGAAGTGAGGTGTGTGCGCTCAATTTTAACATTAAGATGAGGAAAATAACACACTTTTCTATTACAATTGTTGTTCTCACCCACCTCCTACTCAAAATCAGGGACACCAGAAAAGTCTGTGGGTGTGTGGTTTTTTGGGTACTGGGGATGGAACCTAGAGGCACTCTACCACAAACTACTTCCCTAGCCCCATTCTGTTTTTGTTTTTTTAAGTTTTTTGAAACAGGGTCTCACAATACAGCTCAGGGTAGCCTCCTGCCTCAGGCTCTATTGCTGGGATTCTGATTTTTTTTAAATTTTGAGATAGGATCTTTCTAAGCATCACCCATTCTGGTCTTGAACTCACAATCCTCCTGCATCAGCCTCCCAGAAAGCCCAGCTCACTACTGTATTGCGGGGGGCTACTGGGGATCAAACTTGGGACCTTGTGTTTGCAAGGCAGGTGGCAGAACCACTGAGCCAAATCCCCAGCCTTTACTACCATATTTAAATGAGCCATTCCCTTCAGCTACCCTGCTGAGGTAGCCAGGGTCTTGCATTTGAGAATGACACACCCAAGGTGTGACCCAGGCTTGGTGGCATGGCCACATGGCAGGTGTCCTATGCCTCGGTCCTCCTTACTTGATCTCGGCTGCCCTGTGATCCGGGTAGTTCTTGTGGAAACACTTCAGTGCCTGCATCACTGCTGAGGTGCACTCCACATATGTGTAGTCGATCATGATGTCCCCTGGGAGAAGGAAGCAGGGGCCAAGGCCTGTGAGACCTGCTGCCACGCAGGGCCTGTGCCTCAGGCTAGATCATGGCAAGTAAGAGCCTCACAGAACCTGGAGCCTGTGCCCAGACGCGACCCCAACCTGCCCAAGCAACACAGCCACAAGGGGCAGAATGCTTGCACACCAGAATGCAGGGCAAGAAGGGGGCGCTATCAAGACAATGAGCACAGCAGAGAGCTGCAGCCCACCTCAAACACCTGTTTGACAGGTTGGGAGGCAAGATACCAGAGACCGGAAGGAAGGGTATAGTAGGTACCCAAAGGTCTCTCAGGAGAAAAGAACCTGCCCTGCACGACCAGAACCTTGATGGCAACACGCAGACACAGCCTAGCAGCCCATATCAAAGCCTTTGAGGAGACCCCACAACTCCTACAGGTGCTGGGGGCTGCACAACGGTGCTTAGGATGCACGGTGACCTCCTGTGGATAAGGCCTAGTCCAGGCTGGAGTCAAAGAGTTAGGTGAATCCCACCCAAACCCTGGGACAGACCACAGCCCTTCATCCATGGCACAGGGACTCCTGGGGTGGCTCTCCAACATATCAGTCCTGATCTGTGCACTGCGCTGCTGCGAACGCCACTCACCAAAGACCTCGGAGGGGTTAAGCAGCTCCAGCAAGCGCCCCCCACGTGTAGTTTCATAAGTGGCAAAGCCTCCGTCAGGATTCCTCATGTTCAGCAACTAAAAGCAGAGGGAATTCTGGAATGGAGCCCACAGGTCCTGACAGAGATTTCTAGAAGCACACCAGGGTTGACAACCAACAGGGCAGGAGTAGGGGACAGTGAGCTGATCTGTATGCTGAGCACATCCTCAAGTGCCCAGTGTAGCTGCTATGGGCACAGCCTTGCGCAGCCATCTGTTGACAGGCCTGAGGAACCCATTCACTTCTGAGTGCTGACACAGTGGGACCAGTTAAGCTCCAGGGAAAGGTATGATGAAAGCTGTTTATGCAAAAGTACAGTCTGTCCTTTTGGACATTCAACGGAGACCACCAGCCCTGGAAAAGGACGGCCACAAGAGCCAGAATGTAGAAGCTGGCAGGTCCTACAGTCTCTAGGACCAGAGAACCTCCAGAGGCCTCGCAGCCTTTCCTGGCTGCCTAGAGCCAGTCAGGCCCCAGCTGCACAGCCAAGGCCCAGGTTGTGTGGCCAGCCTAAGGTTCCTAGTGCCTAGACATGATACTCCTGGGGATGAGCTCTCGCAGCCTGGTCCCCATCTGCCAAGTCAGAGCCAAGGGAAGGTGAGCACGTGTTCACAGGACACAAGAGCAGGCTCAGGAGTGAGCTCACCACAGCCACAGCATTGCAGAGCTGCTCTCGAGGGATGTGCTCAGTAATAGAGGGACACTTCTCCTGCAGGAGCAGGACAGCCTTCAAGGCCTCAGCTGTGCAGTCAGCCACGATCCAGCCACAGTCCAGGGTGCTGAAGGAGAAGCCACCCTGTGGAGTGCAACGAGACCGTCCATAGCCACAATGCCCCACACACCCCCGAGCCACTGTCTGTACAACAGCACAGGCATATTCAGGCAGACCTCCGGCTCCAACACAGGGACTCCCAGGGCCGCAACTCCTCTCTGGATGCCTTCAGATCTGGGGGATCTTGGGGCAGGGAGGGACACACACACCTTGTTCAGCTGGCGGTAGTACTTCTGATAGTTGGGAGGGTTGTCTGGGACCTGAGCAGCACCAAGGGGCATATGTGGAAAGCACAGAGACAGATTGTCACCAGAGACCCCACACTGCCCCCTGGGAGCTTGATCACTGCTGCCAGCCCCAACACCAGTACAGCAAGGCATCTGTGAGACACTAGTCCCACAGCCCCACCACTGCTGGGCAGAGTTGGCCAGGGCACTAAACAACCCACTCTCCCACCCCAGTTTTAGTCTTTCTGTGACAATGTGGTGAGGTAAGGAGAGCAAGGTGGAGACAAGAACATCAGCCTGAGGAAGCTGCACAGGGTAGAAGTGTGGAGGGTGCCCACCTCACCTGTGAGAGCCGCAGAAATGCATGTGCCTTCTGCAGGCAGGATAAGAATTCACTCCTGTGGTGTGCACCTGCCTGGAAGACAGCAACACAGCACAGCTGAGCCAAATCCCCCAAAGTCCTGGTGACTTCTGCCCCAGCTGGGAACAAGAAACAAATTGACACACATCTCTGGAGAGTTGTAGGGTGTTTTGCTACACTTACCTTTCAATACAGAAAGTCAACAAGATGTGACTGGAGACTGGACTAAGGAGATAATGTCCTGGACAGAAGCCAGCACTTACCTGACCCCCAGAAGACCTGCCCCTGCCTTAGGCAGCCCCACCTGGCCAGAAACACCCCCAGGGTTCCCCCAACACACAATACCCTCATTCCTCTTTAGCACATGTTCCAAACACAATCAGCTTCCAAGGTTCTACCAGCCTCGAACCCTGCCCAGCTCCCTCTGGCTGGCTCCACCAGTTGCCCCCTGAAGTCCCAGACTCAGCTCAGAATCCAGGGCTAACACTTCTTTGGTATTACCCACAGAGGCTTGGTGCTAGCCTCACGAGAGCAATGGACAGTGTGTGGTCACAGTGCCGTGTACCTCAGGGGATACATGCAACACACACACACACACACACACAGGAAGCTGAAAGGAGCACTGCAGAGGACACAGCCACATACCTCTAGCAGAGCCTGGATGGTGAAGGAGGTGTCCCAAATTTGTGAGCCATTGGTGCCCTGCATGCAAGGGACAGACATTACAGCTGCTGCAGTCATGACACCCACCTCACTTCCACCACCACCTCCCAGGATTGAGGGGTGAAGGCCTTCACCCAGCTGATGCCCCACCCCATGCTCTGAGCCCTGTGCACCCTCCTAGTTGGCAAAGACCCATGCTTTCATGGGCCACCAGCCAGCAGGGACTTGAGCGTGTTTCTAGAATTGGACCATCCCACAAGGATCTTGCATTTCCCCCACAGCAGGGTGCCTCAGTCACAGGATAACCAGAAATGCCCACGTCCAATCACAGATTTGAGTCAGTTCCTCAGATAATACTTGACTTCAATTCAGGGTCAGTCGAGTCCACTAAGCTTTGTTCAGGACCCTATGAAATGTATGACAGAGCCCTAGGTCCCCACCCCACAGTGTGGTCATAGGATCAGCTCTCTGATGAACCCCTCCCCGGGGGTCAAGGACTTAATCAGGCGCCTCAGTCCAGAAAGCAATGTATCTGCTTGCTGTTCACCTTGCCCAGGAGGGGTCTGGGAAAATGCTGTCCACACATCTGCCATGTGCTGCAAACTTTCTCTGTCTGTGTCTGTCTCTGTCTCTCTCTAGGTGTCCTTTCTTGTGCTGCTCCCAGGCCTGGCCACACACCTACTGACCTACAGTCTCCCTCAACCCACAGCTACAGGGATGAACAAGCTGCACCCAAGGGCCAGGAGCTGAGAACAAAGCCCCTGTGATTTGCTGGAGGAGCCTCCAAATGACTGCACGGAAGACAGGTCCACAGCCACTCTTCCATCACAGCTGCAAAAACAGTGCTTCAGCAGGGACTGAGCCACACCTGGGCCTGTCACCGTAGTAGCTTAGCCCATCCTGACAAACAGGGCTGAGAGTAGACACTACAGCTGCAAATGGACCTGAGATTATAGGTGGCAACCCCAGAGACTGAGGCACCTGAGGTGCCCCCTGCCCCACACAGACTGGCAGACTGAAGGGCAAGTCAGCCTCTTTGTGCACTGCTGATCTATTCTGGGAGGAGTCACTTTTGAATCTCAGCAACGAGTAGCCAAGGCCACACAGCCCTTACCTGCATTTTCATACCATCAAGGCCCAACCTGTGAGGAGAAAAGCCCATGTTAGGAATGACACATAGCCATAGCCAGACACAGGCCTCCATCAGGAGTGTCCACACCTGTCCTGTGGCCAGGGGTCAACTTCATCACTGCTCAGCTGTCTCATGGGCATGAGGGCCACACTCACCACACATGAGCAGTGGGAGCCTCTGCCCTAGTCACCCTGCTGGCCTCATCCAAAGCCATGTTGCCAGAACAGATACTGCCTCCACAAGTGCATGGCTTCCTGCCATGGCCCTCAGGGCTCCACCTTGGGGCTAGACAGGACTGGCAACCTCCCCATCACAAGCCTTTCTCTTACTAACTTGGACCTGCTCTACCCAACCACAGGCTTCCTAATCCTGCCTACCTTCTAGAATCATCTGAAGTTTCTGCCAGATAGTAAGTCCTCCTCCCATCCAGACAACTCCTACACTCTGGGCTCTAGGGGTTATTCCCAGGAGCTGGCATTGGACCCCTCACATTGGACAGAGGGGTGGGAGACCCAGCATTATCCAGCCTATCTGCAGTCAGTGCTCGGCACCTTTGCCCAGCCATTTCCAGGCCACACTCACCAGAGATAATCAGGGATCCTGGAGACGTGCTCCTGGAATGCCAAGGAGGCTGGCCCATCCACAGCCCAGCGCACAAGCATGTTGATGGTTTTTGAGATCTGTGACAGACATAGCCATCAAGGTCTGTGTACTTCACCCCCAAGCCAGGGCACCTCTGCTCCAAAAGGAGCTTGCTAAGCATGCCAGATGCACAGCTGTATCCCCAGGAAACAACTCAGACTCAGGCTGATGTCAGCCAAAGTCAAGCAAAAGCAATCTTAGGATGTGGAGGGGTTAGGAGGGTCTGGGTGTCCACAGGTAGGGAGGCTTGGTGCCAGATACTTTGCTCACCACAGTACAGCAGCGCTGAAGCTCATCCCACCCCAAGCCCAGCTATATCCTAGTCGTGTGCCAGCTTCTTCCCAGGTCCCTGCCAGCCCCACCTATTCTCTGCTGTATACACTGACCACTGGGAACATGGCCCCAGGCATGGTATGTGCATACCTGGCTTCCACTAAACACCATAGCTCCACGAGGCAAAGCAAGATTAGGAACCAAGGGAAAAGACCAGTAATAAAACACAAAAACCCTGCCACCCCCACCCTGGGCACCTTTAAGTTCTTTAAGAGGGCAGAGGGTCTACTGTGATGGAGACTAGGAGGAAGTCAGGGGAGGAAACCACACCCCCAGGTGGCCAGAATGCTCAGGTGGCTTTAAGGAGCAACTATCCAGACAAGAGTCAGGTGATGGGGATGGGAGGGCAAAGTACAGCTGAAGCCAGGCAGCCTCAGTGAGCACAGGGGATGAGGACAGGAGTCCTGCAAACAGGCCTCCTCCAAAACGGAGGTGCATGAGGCTCCAGAGACAGGACTCAAGGGCTTCTGAGCTCTGACTAGAGCCTCCCTTCCCCCAGGGGCTATATGGAGGCAGGGGCCACAAGGGGCAGGGCACTGACCGGGCCAACGCTGATGCTCTTGGTGAAGCGGTCATCGGCAGTGATGTGCTCATACAGCATCTGGATGGCCCAGCGCCTTAGGCGAGTGCTGTGGAAGCGCTCATACAGGTTGAGGAGCACTGCAGGGTAGCAGTGTCAGCGGGCACCAGACACAGGGAGACACCCTGGCCCCAACCTGCCATTCCTATGCAAGGGCACCCAGGACCCTCTACAAAGGAGCAGGGTCTGGGCCTCTCCCTCCCTGGCTCTTACTTCTATCACTCCACCCTTGCCTGTGCCCCCTCCTCTGCCCTGCCAAAGTGGTGCTTAGAGGGCCTCCGCATGAAGAAATCCAGCCCAGATGGTCCTCAGTCGCCCAGGGCAGGGCCCAGCAGAAGAGGTTATTCATCGCCATGAACAGCACGAGTGAACTAATGAGTGCATAAATGAGCGACTTCCTGACCCTAGCTGCCCAGGTCCACTGCCATAGGGGGCACCCACCATACACTGTGCGCAGCAGCCAGCTGTGTGGTGTGTACAGATCATCAGGAGATACGTTGTTCCTCTGTGCTGGCCAGTCAATGCTGGCATAGTCCTCCACGTAGAGTTCCTGGAGAGGAGGTAGCACCTGAACCACTGCGGCACATCAGATACGGCCCCCAATACAAGCCAGCCTGGCTCTAGCCAAAAGTGGCCTCCAACTGCCAGCCCTGGAGTGCTCGGTCACACCCTCTCCCACAGGTTGGGGACCACTTACCAAATAACCACTGCAGGGTGAGGCCCGGATAGCTCAGCAGTGTCAGGGCCACTCTTGAGTAGTTGGACACCTACCCTCTCTGCCTTCCCAAGGGCAAGCCCAACACCCATCCTGTAATCCACCGCATCACAGGGCCATTTTTAAAGGACACAACTATACCCATGGGTCAGGACTGCTCAGGGGCTGAGTGTCCATATCCTGAAGCCTACAAACACTCCATGGCCCCAGGACACTGGGCAATAGCAGTTGCCTATCCCAAAGCACAGGTCCCTCTGGCCAGAGTTTATTTATTTCTGTTTACAGGAGAGGAAAGTGGAGGCTCCACAGGGCCCTCAGTGTGTGGACCCCAGCCCCAGAGATTATGGGCCACCTGTCTTCCCGAGCCTCATGTGTCTTCTGTGACAAGGACCCTCAGGGTCAGAGGGCTCACCTGGCGGAGGCTCAGAACCAGTGGGTCCTCAGAGGCACTTAGCCGGGCGGCATAGCAGTAGCTCATGGGCAGGTAGACCTGCCGGCAGTGGCACCAGAAAGTGGAGGGGTGTGCAGGCATCCAGGCAGGAAACAGCCTGGAGGACAGCACATGTCAGGGAAAGCACCCAGGACACAGCCTGCCCCATTGACAGTCTTGCAGCCATATGTCCTAAGTGTGAACACGTTCCTATGGGTGTAGTGAAGCCTGCATGTTCACCTCCCAAGGAGCTGATATCCCCTCCCACCACACAGGAACACAGACCAGTCACACCCGCAACCCCAGCCTCCAGCACCCACCCCTCCATCCTGGCTACTATAATGACCACCCTTCTGAGATGTTCCTCAGCCTGTTCTTCCCACAGCAGGTCTAGCCTAGCAGGTTCCCGGTCGTGGACCTCTGGATGCCAACATGGTCCAGGGCATCTTCCCAGTAGGTAACCGCATTCCACCTGTACCACACATGGGCAGCACTGTCCACAACCTCTACCCCTTACTCAGCACCTGCCAGCCTTCCCACTTGTCACCACCCGACCTGGCTGCGGAGCTAAGCCCTTGGTTCTTGTTTCAGGACTCTGCTGTCCTCCTTTAGTAGCCCCATCACTTCCTGCCTTCCTCCACCAAAGTCACCTACCACAGGGCTCTAAAACCTGTTTCTATAGTACTTCAGGGAAACGGCAGGAGCTATGTCTGGGCTCTGAAGTTCTGCGGTCCCAATTCCCAATATGTATGTGAGGTACGATCATAACATATGGTGAACACTTAAGTTTTTCAAAATTGTAAGACACATTGTTACTAATGTCTCTCAAAATACTCACTTTGAAAACACTTATCCCATTGTTCTTGCCATTTTCTAAAGCAGTTCTACAGTTTTCTTTCATGAGATCTTTAGTTGTACTTTTGTTACTGCTTGATGTTCCGAAATGACTCAAAAACGTTACCTTTCATGGTCATTTTGACTTTGGGCACAAGCTAGAAGTCACACTACAGCAGATCTGATGAAGACACATCATGAAATTTTCATGAGCCTTTCTGTTGGATCATATGTAGCAGGCAATGGCATTCATCATATTTTCGGTTACACATTGTAAAAACATCAAGAAAAAGGACATCGAGAACTGCTCAGAAAGTAGCAAAAATGATGTGAAAAGTGTTTGAAGCCAGGCAGCGTACTCTAAGGGGGATTAACGGTAATGTATCTTTTACTATAATAAATTTTTAAAATGTAAACATTCACTGTACATTTTTGTATATTCTGATCACACTTTGTAACACTGGGATAAATAAACGCATATAAGTGTTTTCTGGGGAATGACCCATGACTTTCACCTATCGTTTATGAAACATCAACAGATATTGGCATAGATATGAAATTCTAAGGAATGGTGTTGTGGCACATGCCTATAGTCCCAGTATTTGGTAGGCTGAGGCAGGAGAAGCGCCATGAGTTCAAGGCCAGCCTGGGCTACATAGTGAGTTCAAAACCAGCCTGAATTATAAAGCAAGACTCCATCTCAAAAAACCAGAAAAAAGGGCCAAAGATTTAGTTCAGTGGCACTGTATCTGCCTCACAAGCACAAGGTCCTGAGTTTGATCCCTGATACCAAAAAAAAGAAGGAATGAGTATGGTTCCATTAAACCAAACCTAAAGATGCACACAGCAACATTCATGGATGAAGTGATGTCCAGGACTTGCTAAATATTCACTCTAAAGCAGGCAAAGGGAAGGACAGATGCAACTGTCACCTGCTGACCAAGGCTGGGCAGAAGTGTGCCTCTTTACTCTGCTTACATACATGCTCAAGATTTTCTATAATTACCAAGTATGAGCTACTGTCTACCTCACAAAGCCTTTGCTGGAGATTTAGCTCAGTGGTACTGCCACCTGCCTCGTACGCACAAGGTCCTGTGTTTGATCCCCAGTACCAAAAAAAAAAAAGAAAGAAAAAGAAAAAGTAACAGCCTGCGCTTCCCTCTATGCCACACAATGGGTTCTACTATCACCTCACATCGCCCCATACACTACATACAACTGGATCCTATGGCCAGACTCAGGGACCCTCCCCTCCCTCCTGCCCAACAGAGAACCCTGATTCTGTACATCTGTATGCTTTAATGGGGGAAAGGGCCTCTCTGCTGGGGCCTGACCCACCCCACCCAGCCCACGCATCTACCAAGGCAGGCAGTTTGATTGGCAGGGACAAGCATACCACATCTCAGGAATCAGGGTGTTGAGGCCTTCCCAGCTGTAAACATTCATGATGGCCAGCCAGAACTTACCCCAGGAGGGGATGGCCACAGCACCACCTAGGAAGAAAACAGGCCCATGTCATCTGCCTCCTGTGAGCAGAACCAGCCTGTTCTACCCACGAAGACTGAACTAAAGGGTCATGTGAGACACTTTTTTCATGAGCTGGGAGCAGCCTGCTGAAGGTCCTGTGACCCCAACTGAGAAGTGGGTTCCAAAGTGGCCCAAAACACTAAAAAGGTGAGTGGAACCAGCAGCTTTCCCAGGAGTGTGTGTGTCCGGCCCCCAGAGAGCTGTTTGCAGGTCTTGTCTCCAGGGAAGAGCACAAGGCAGATAACTGGGAATGTGCAGGAAAACTCATGCTCAGGAGACATAGGGGCCCAGATGCATGAAGTGATCCATGGCCACCCATGCCTGGAGATGATGAAGAGAGAATGCGAAGACGTGCCAGGATCGCCCTCTCAGACCAAGCCTAAGCTGTCTTTGCTTTCCCACCTGAGAGACAGTCCAGCACAGGTGATTAACAGGCCAGAGGCCAGAGCAGATCTGACATTCTTGGCTCATGTCCAGAGCCTCCCACAGCAGCTGGTGTCAGGCACAGTGCATGGCAACATTGAGTTGGGACACATTTTATGAAGAAAGCTCTGGCCCCAACCCAGGTGTGTGAAAGTCAAAAAAGACCTGGGGAGCTACTAGGCAAAGTGTGGCCCAACACGTTCCTCCACTATACAGGAGCCAGTAATCCTGCAGGACACCACACCCTGGGAACTCAGCGTGCTGATGGTGAATTAATTAAAACAGTGACAAACATAAAAAGAATGCAAGATTTCATGAAAATGTGTTCAGGACACACTTCATGAAGAAATTCCAAAGAAGTGACATTTGAGATGCAAGGTAAAGAACAAGTAAGAGTTTGCAAAACTGTAGGGTGGGGAGTAGAAAGTGGGATGAAAGGACATGGGAGCCCTGAGGTGGGAAAAGGCTTTTAAGTTTTGCAATTCATGAGACAAAAAGAATTATCCATTCTTTTTGATTTGCTTTTTAAGAAATTAAGCAATTAACAATTTCTGTATATTTTTACTTTGACAAACTCTTTGTTCATATATTTTGCCCAGCGTCTCCACTGGAAGTACATCTTTCTGACTCTCATTTGCAAAACCCAATAACACTGCTGTAACATAAATTATTTTTCTACCTTTTTTGTGAAGGATGTTCCGGGCGCGTACCAGGTCAGGATCATCAGGCCCAATTCCTAGGATCCTAAGAGCCACATAGTTGAGTGCAGTACCAAACACTGTGGATTTGTCCTCAATGTGCCTATGGGAACATCAAACTGGTGGGAAAATGATCTCTGTCTTCCTTCTAAGAAATAAAAGCCAGGGGCTGGGGATTTAGCACAGCGGTTACGCCACCTGCCTTGCAAGCTCAGGGTCCTGAGTTCGATCCCGGTACCAAAAAAAAGAAAAAGAAATAAAAGCCAGGCATGGTGCATCCTGTAGTCCCAGCATTCTTACAAGCTAAAGTGGAGAACTGCAAGTTTGAGCCTTGCGTGAGCAATTTCAGCAAGACCCTATTTCAAAATAAAAAGGGCTTTGTATTATAGCTCAGTGTAAAGGATCTAGATTCAATTTCCAGCACCCCCCCAAAATTACTATCATTTTAAACAATAAAAATAAAGAAATGCTGGCAGTGAAATTTGCCTAAAAATGAAAAAAACCTAAAAGACCTCTGACATGGCATGACAGCACAGGAATCACTATGAGAAGCTTGCTCACCTCATGACATTTGAGCTACTCCAAAATTTCCTGGGCTACCTGCCCCACCCTTCTGCCTACTTCCCACACCTGAGTCTGTCCCAGGGCAGTTCACTGTGTGCAGGGTTCCAGCTCCCAGAGTATGCCCCACACCAGGAAAGCACACTGAGACAGAAGCTGCTGGGCACCCTGCCATCAGACTGAAGGCAGAATTTTTCTGCCACAGTGACAAAACACTGATGGCTTTCACATTGCCTGTTGGTATCAAAAGACCCCTAACTAAACATGAAACCCATTTACAACGCCAGATATTAAGTGAAGTCTAGCCTGCACGTTAACTGTCAGCCCATTCCCCTCTTACCAAGTTCTCCCTCACATCACCCCAACTCCACAGCTTCAGTCACCCCACCTCTCAACAGCTTTCTGGAAACCTGAGCCAACATGAAGACACATGCATGCAAACATATGTACATGTATGCAGTTGGACACACTCACAGGCCCCAGCCGCCATCAGGGAGCTGCACTGACCGCAGGTACCGTACCATCTCCTCTCTGTATCCAGCTGGCAGAGGGATGCGTGCTACATGGCACGTGATCAGGAGGCCTGTGTGGCAGGAAGGATGATCTTCACTGGGCTCAATATTACTAAACCCAGACCCCTTTCTTCTTGAGGACCCCACCCAAACAGGGAACTGTTGCCATGGGTCTCCTTCCCATGGAGTGGAGCTCAGGAAGGCCATTTCTCTTGGGCTGGATCAGGGACTTTAGGGACACAGTTCAAGAGAATGCTAGCAGCAACACACATGACACTCCCAGCACTGGGCCCATAGAGTCCACTGGGCCATGCCTGACTTCCATAGCAAGATCTGGGTCAGAGAGACACCAAACGGTACACAGGGCCCTGAGGAAGCCTCCCATGGGTGCCCTAAAAGCCCAAGAGGAGTTAAGTTAGTTTGTTTGCTTTTGATACTAGAGATTGAACTCAGGACCTTGAGCTTATAAGGCAGGTGGTGGCACCAGTGAGCTAAATACCCAGCCCCTCAAGGAGTTAGAACTCAAGATCAGTGGGCTATGTGGGGAAACTACGTCTGGCTGAAATAATTGCTGAGGAAAAAAAAAAAAAAACCAACACTAAATGGTCATTCTGAATGAGGTATAGTATTTAGTGCTTATATGTATTTTCTGTTTTGTAAACTGTTTAGAAGCTCACAACCTTTGCAAATGTGGGGGGAAACAACACTGTTCACAAAGAAACCTCTTTCCTAGCCTAGTCTTCTTGAACATGCTATGGTGCTCTGAGACTCCCTTTACCCTGAGTCCCCATGTGGAGGTTCCATCATCACTGGGTCCCAGGGCAGAATTACCACAGAAACAAACCCATACAGTATTTTGCACAGAATTCAAGGCACTGGAACAATGCATTTACATCATCAGTGGGGAAAAGGGGCCCGCTGCACAAATTCTAGGAGGAGCTTCCCATATTAAGAGTGTTTCTGTAGAGGATGCAAACTATCTTGTCCAGCCAAATCAGTTCACTATCCAGGCTCCCTCTAACACCAGCACCCCACCCAGCCCACTAACAGTGCCCCCACATAGGCTGGGTCTTCCATGTAGAGTGCTCTTCCCAATCTGCAATGGGACTGCCACCCTACACTGAGCCAGCTGTGCCTTCCCTCCTGCTGGCACCAACATCAGGTTGCTCAGGGCAACCATCCCTAGCTCTTTTCCCATGTGCTTCTGGGTTTACACCTGCTTCACCAACAGCCTAGACCAGTGATGGGTAGTCTTTTAGAGCTTTCAGGGATAAAGAGCTCACTGCAGCACACTTGTCATAGGTTTGCCACCACTGGCTTAAACCAGCCAGGCCAGGGCCTTAGGGATGATCCAGGGTAAACTTGCTCTCAGGCTATGGCAGCGTATTCCTACCTGGGAGGAGGAACAGTGGGCCTCCATAATCACCCGTCCAGTGCCCGTCTTCAGCCTGCAGCCCCACATAAAACGTTATACCATTCAGAGCCCCTTCACAGGCGGTGTGAGCTTTGGGCAAGTCTTTAAAGTAACTTTTCTACAAAGGGAGAAAAAAAGATGAGACCTGAGGTTACCTGCTGTAGGGCCAGAAGAGCCCTCCTCACCCACAGCCCAAATCCAACTAGCGAACCTAAGAGTTTCAGCTGAAAATATTTGAAGACAATATTACATCTCAGCAAAGAAAAAAGACAGTTGTGTGGTTTTACTTTCCAGTTTGTATCTGCAAACTTCTTCACAGCTTCCCCACAATGCCTTAAACAAGCCTAGCATCCAGGGTGTGGGGTAGGGCAATGATGTCCACCCAGGCTGGCACTGGGGGCGCTGGGCAGGGCCTGGTGGCCAGAGCTTGGGGGAGTTCTCATTTACTCCTAGTCTGTGACTAACTGGGCTTTACGGGTGCACACAACCAGAACATGATGTCAAACAAGTTCTTTTTGCGAATAAAAACAGTTACAACTATCTCCCCAACTCTTCTGTCAATCTAAGCTGCTATCAAAATAAAGCGTCCCAAACAAAACGAGGACAGACCCTGACGTGACGTGACGTGACGCAAAGTAACGCGAATGGGCCCTCGGTCCAGCTCCCCGACAGGGTCCCGCGCGCCGCCAGCGCCTCTCACCGTGTCCAGCCCCAGCTTGTGTGCCTCCAGGCCACTCTGCGTGCGCGCCGGCGCCTCGCCCTCGG